CCCCGCTCCAGCGTGACCAGCGGGAGCTCTCCCCTCTTGTGTGCCATCCCAGGGGCCTGCGCCCCTAAAGCCAGCCCTGGTGGCTGCCAAGCACTGGGGCTGCAGCGGCGTGTGCGGCAGGTTCTGAGGCCAGGAGCAGGCTCCTCCCCACCCCCGTGCAGCCCAGGGGCCTGTCCCCAGCTAGCAAGGCTGGGGGCCACCCCAAGTCACATGAAGATCACAGCCAAGCCCCAACAAGTGTGCGTGGGTGTGCTCTGGCACATGTGTGTGTGGGCGGCCGGTGCCCTGCACCTTCAACTTGCCTCCTCGTGTGCCAGCCTCCCACCGACGCCCGCGACTGTCCCTTCTGTGCCTGGACACAGCTGGAGGCCAGTGCCCGCGGCGGGATTTCAGCTCCTGGAGAACACAGCGGGAGCCGTCGGGGAGACACGCAGCTCAGCACCCGCTCGCCGGCCGCCCCTGCTCAGTATGTGGGAAAAACCAGGTCAAATATCTTCATTCATAAGGCTGGTCCCAAGCAAATTGCCAAATCACTTGCTCCTGGAGTGACGCAGGGCTTCACGGAGCTGCCTGGCAGGGACGGAGGCTGCCATTTGGGTCACCCTCCTCCATCAGTCTGGCATGGGCACACTCGGGCCGGGACTGCGGCACGGGTCCCCGGCCTCAGCCCTGCCGGCTCCCTCGGCCTCCAGGCGCCACTCGGGCCCCTCCTCACCGGGATGGGCCCAGGGCACGGGCTTGTGGTTGCTGGCTCTCGGGGTGGGAAGCGGGCAGCCTGGAAGGCCCTGCTGGGGGGCCCCGGGCCTCCTGGGTGGGCACTTCCAGGGCGAGTCACCTCCACAGCCAGTGCCGCGGGCTCGCCGCACGGTCCTGGGAAGGCCGGGGCAGAGCACGTGCTCCAGAGAAGCCCCTGGCCTGCCCCGGTGAACTTCCTTCTCTCTGGGCTTGAAAGACTCAGCCTCACAACACAAAAGGCAATTCATCTTTTTTAGACAGACCTTTGTCCCCGGACATGGGACATGGGATCCCTTCATCCCCAGCCTTCCACATTTTTCTCATTTTAGTGGAATTTGTTTGCTTCACTGAACTTGATGGGAAGAACATGGGCCGGGGGAGGGGAGCACCCCCGAGGTCAGTCCCTGGCTCTGCCACTTTCTTGCTGTGTGGCCTTGGACAGGTGACTCAGCCTCTCTGCACTCAGCTTTTTGGTTTATAAAAAGGGTCCTTGGCATGAGACGTAAACACGCTGTCGGGGGCGGCGCAAACCTGCCAAGGCTGCACCTTCCGAGTCGTGCGGATCCCCGCTCTCTCCCCAGGGAGGCAGGCGGCCCTGAGCCACACGAGCGCAGAGCAGAGGCTCCGAGGCCCGTGGGGCTGGCTGGCCCGGGGCCGGGCACCAAGCCGTGACCTTTGACAGCGTCCCGGGGCCCGCTTCCAGCCACAGGCTTGACCGGAAATGAGGAAATGCACGAGGAGCTGGGAATTGTGGAAATGACTCAGCCCGCCCGGTGTCGCCAAGGAGACCGGGTCAGATGTCCCACAGACCCCACCACGAGGGCAGGGAGCCAGGCCGACGAGCTTTCTGCTGAGAGGGGACTCTCGTGCCTTCCTTCGGGCCAGCAGAGGAAGCTGCATGCTCCTGCTCAGACTCGGTGGGGGCAGCCCCCCGGCCAGGGCCCCGGCCGGACTGGATGACTCTCCGGCCTCTGCATCTCCTCCCCCGCTTCTCCTCTTCGGTGGCAGCGTCACCTTCATCTGCATCGTCATCATTTCTAAAAACCACAACATCATCACAGAACTCTGGGCTTGGCAGGGGAGACTGTAAAATGGGTCCACCCTGGGTGCTCAGAGGGCACAGCCTGCGGCAGGGGGGGTTGGCAGGGGTTGCCTGACTAGCAGGGGTGCCCACCTGCAGCTCGGGGAGCCCTGCTGACATGAGACCTGAAGCCCTGGACCCTTGTTCCCCAGCCCGCTGGTTGCAGTGGGATGCCCCGAGCGGGACTCTGGAAGCAGTTTCCTGCCTGCTGCCCCTGGTCCAAGGCTCACAGCATCACCTTCCGAAAGGCTCCATATAGGTGGCTGCCGCAGGTGGGGCCTCAGGTTGGTGTAAAGGTTGTCTCCTTGAGAGCTGCTCCCTGCAACACCCGGGGTGAGAGCCTGGTTTGAGGGTGATGGCCAATGCCCAGCCCCACCGCACCCCTGCTCACAAAGTGCACTGTGAGATTCTAGAGGCTTCCGAGCGTGGTGGTTTCCTCGTAGTGGCAAATACCTGCAGGGCAGGGTTGCACGCACCCCATTGGGACAATGAGCCCTTCCCAGGCAGCCCCATGGGCCGGCTCCTGGGGTTGAGGGTCGAGGGGGGTTGCACTGGGGCACCGAGTGTCCCCATGTGTGAGCAGCTGTGCTCTGACCCCAGTGCTGGGCCACAGGGTCCCTGCGCTCAGGAGGACCAGGCGCCCCGGCACTAGGCTGGCTGCAGGAGCGAGGGGGTGTGGCCTCCTAGACGGACAGGGTGTCTTGGCGCCTGTTACATACCGTGGCCAGGTGCATGTTCCAGAAGCCTCTGCCCTTCCTTTGCCCCCTGTCCTCGGGCTGCTCCCGCACAGAGGCAGTGCAGCGTCCGTGTTTACATTCCCTGTGTGGAGACGGCCGGCCATGTGACTAATTCCCGGCCAGGGCTGTTGTTGGTGTACAGTGTTCCAAGCCTCTCAAGGAGCTGGCGGGCAAGCTGGCCTTGGAGGGAGACTGGTTCTGCCAGTCCTCCAGGCCGGCCCTTTCCTAACCGCCAACATGCCACAGCCACGCACCTGGCTCACACGTGGCGCCCAGGTATGTGGTCACCCCTGTTATTCTGGCCAGTAGGCCAGCAGGGCCAGTGACTCAGCTGTGCAGATCTGGCTACAGCCGAGAACATAATGAGATGTTTCCTCCAAATACAAAGAGACTCCCGGCAAGCAGGGCGACCCCGCCGGCCCTTCACAGGGACTGTGTGAAGAGGCGTGTGTCCGGAGAGGCAGCGCGCAGGTCGCAGCTGTTTCCTCATCCCCACACCAGAACCGCCTGGCTAGGCCTGTTCTCATCCCTATCCTGGGGCACTTGCCATCCCAGCCAGCTGCCCGTCCTGTCCCCCCTAGTGCTCCCTGTCCAGCTGCCTCCCAATGCCAGGGTTCTCTCGGAGACCATCTGAGCTCTGAAGCGTCAATCCCTGCCCCCGATTTCAAATGTGCTCCCCTCCTCTGGCCTCCAGCCTCTATCCAAGAATAGCCTCCCCTGGAAGTCTCTCCTCCCCACCCGCCATGCACGTGGCCACCTGTGAACCCGTCTCCTGCACCCTTCTAGCCTCGCCTGCCAGCTGGTCTCTCTCACCCCGCGCCCCACCGTGGGAGCCTCCACCTGCGGCTAGGAATGGTACTTGTAGAATTCCATTTCCCCCCACGCTGGCATAAGACGGCGGTGGCCCTGCCTCTTACTCAATCTACTGTCCAGGACTTCGGTGCTCCTGGTGAGCCTCTGACGGCCTCCGCCGTCCACCGCCTGCTGTCCTCTGCTTCGGAGGAAGTGAGTACGTGCGGGCCACAGGATCTTTGCACACACATGCACACTTCTTCACCCACCACAAACCGTCCCCTTTCTGGCCCGCGCCTCACTCCACTCCCATCTTTACTGCTCCGTGCGTGCGCAGGGCAGACCCGCCCCAGCTCAGCCTCGCTCTGCTCCGTGTCCTGCTCTTCCCACGGCTTTTGCATAATAGGTGCCAGTAAAAGCCACTGGTCTATGAAGGAGACCTAGATCCTAATCTCAGATCTGCCGGACTTGCCTGTCTTCACAGCGAACTTCCCTCCGAGCAGGTTCTAAGGCAGCGCAGGGAGGGCCGGGAGCAGCAGAGCCTACGCTCTCTGCTATGCCCGCAGCGTCCCGGGCTCCCAAATGCTCGGCCCAGCTGACCCAACCCAGCAGCTGCAGACGACACAGCCAATCACGTTTTATCACCCTGGCCTGTCGTCAGGCCTGGGACTGTCTTGGGCTAGTGTGTTTTGTGGCATTTCTTAGTGATGGGGTCTGCCTCTGCAAAGGCATCTCACACACACACACACACACACACACACGCCTCTGCAAAGGCATCTCACACACACACACACACACGCCTCTGCAAAGGCATCACACACACACACACACACACACACACACACACACAGCATCCCCCAGCCTGGGGGCCTTTTCCTGGGACCTGCCTGGACCGAGGGGCAGCCTGGAGGCCCAGGGTCAGGGATCCTGACCTCAGGATGCGTCTGGGTTTCTAGGGACTTTCCAAGGGCGTTAGCGCCAGGCACCTTCTGGCCCATGGCACTGGCGATCCCATACATCACCCCGCAGCAGGGCCACCCGGACGCACGCGTGCACACGCGCGCACGCTCACACTGGCAGGGCCCGCACAGGGCGCGCGGTGCACACGCGCGAGGAGCCCGCAGCCGGCCCGGGCCGCCGCCTACTGTTCCGCGCGTCGCCCCGCGGGGGGCTGTGGGCGCCGCAAGGAGCCGCGTCGGGCGCGAGGCGCGAGGCGCGGGGCCGCCCCCGGGGAGCCCGGCGCGCCGGGCGGGGAGTCGCGCGGGGCGGCGGCCGCGGGGCCTTTAAGGGGGCGGGCCCGGGGCGGCGGACACGCCCCTCCCGGCCCCGCCCCGGCCCCGCCCCGGCCCCGCCCCGGCGCGAGCCTCTCCGGCCACCGCCGCCCGGACGCGCGGGCGAGGAGGAAGCGCGGCGGGACCTGCCCGGACGCCCGAGTCGGGGCCGCCGCGCCGCGTCCTCTCGCCGGGCCGCGCGCTCGGGCCAGTCCCGCCGTGTCTGCGCCCCGCCGCCCGCCCGCCCCCGGACCCGGCCCGCGCGGAGACCCGCCCGCCCGGAGACCGCGGAGACCCGCGCGCCCGCCGGAGACCCGCCCGCGCCCCCGGGTGCGGAGCCGCTGCGCGGCCGCGGGGGGGGCGGGCCCGGCATGCGCCGCCACCATGGCGCGCCTCGGCCCGTGGCTCGGCGAGGCGCAGTGGCCGGCGCTGGTCGCGCTCTTCCTCGCCGCGCTGGGCACCGTGGGGCTGTACCTGGCGCAGTGGGCGCGCGCGCGGGCGAGGCCCCGGGAGCCGCGGGAGCCGGGCGCGGGCCGCGGCCCCGACGCCGACGCGCTGCTCGCCTGGGTCCTGACGCGGCGCGGCTGGCGGGGCCGCTGGCTGGACGCCTGGGCGGCCGCCCTGAGCCGGGAGGCCCGGCGCCGCGGGGTGAGTGTCCGCGGGGCGCGGGGGCGGGCCCGGCCGGGCGGAGCGAGGAGGACCCGGGTGGGGAACTGGGACAGCGACCGCATTTTATTCCCCGGACATCAGGGGTGCCCGGCCCCGCAGGCCATCGCGGCTCGCCTGGTCCTGGGGGGTTGTCGGTCCCCTGGGGGTGCCGTCTGTCCCTTCCGGGCACCCCAAGCCCGCGCCACCGGGCACTTACCTGTGTCTGCGCCTGCTGAGCTGACCCGCGCCCCAGCTGCAGCGCCACCCACAGCCATGACCACCAGGCTGCCCTCCAGCGCCCGCATCATGGCACATGGGATTAGTGGCTGGCGAGGGCGGCCACTTGCCGTGGCTGGCATTTGGGACTTTGAGTGCGTGTGTCATCTCTGAGCCCTCGCGCTCTGGGGACACGGGTTATGTTAACCTTTGACGAGCCAGGAGGACGGCCGAGGAGGTTGCGCTGCCTGCCCACGGCTCGGCCTGCGGGTGGTAGGGATGGGGCTCAGACCCAGCTGCCTCCCACCCTAAAACTCAAGGAGGGGCTCTCCCCTGCACTCGGCCGCCCCTGCCCGTGGCTGTGTCTCTTCCCCGGCGAATAACCTGGTGACTTGTGACTCTAACACACCTTAGTTGTTAATGACAGGGTCCTGGCGTCCCGTCCGTCCCGGCATTCCATGGGAGGAACTAGGGCCTGGTGGGTTTGGGGCAGCACCTCCCCGCCCTGGGGTGTTCACCTTCTGCACCTGCTTGTGCCACCCAGCGGGGAAGTCCGTGGCCATTGGATGTGGAAATAAGGGACGCGGGTGTCCGGGCATGTCAGTCTGGCCTTGCACATGGCCCTGGCCCACATAGCCGTGGGCTTAAAAAACAAAACCGCTTGGCATGCAAGTGAGCGTAGACCCAACAGGGCAAAAGACCAGGTACCACACTCAAAAATAGAACTCTACCTGTGGGCGAGGGCCGGGCTCTCCTGGTGCCTAGGATCTGTGCCCCAACCACCCAGGACGCCTCCTGCGCAGGAAACCGCCCCCTCGCTCTCAGGGAGCCCCGGAGTCCCAGGACCTCACAGATACACACAGACATGATGTGTTTCCCATGAAGCCGTGGACATCGGCCCCCCAAAGACCTGGTGTTGCGGGTTCTGGGCTGGTGGTGGGAGCGGTGGCATCTCAGGGCGCCGTGAGCCTCGACCCGCAGGTGGGGCCGGGTCCTTCCCTGCCGGCCCCCGATGGCTTCGGGGCAGGGCCTGCTCTCTGCCTGTGCGTTCTGGGCAGCCCGCTTGAGCCAGCCCGCCCCCTGGCCCTTCGTGATTGGGTGCGTCCAGATGGCCCACAGGCCAGGAGTGTGAGGGAGGAAGGAGGAAGTGCCTGGCCTGGAATGTCCCTCGACGGCCAGGTGAAGCTGAGAGCACTGAAGAAAATGCCCCAGATGCCTCTCACCCTGGTCACTTGACCCCGCGCAGTGGCCCTGAGCCGGCTGGCTGGCCTGGCTCGTGCTATCTGCTGTAGCCGTTGCTGCAGAGGCCCGACATCAGCCTTCCAGAACTGCCCCTGGGAGCGGCGTGACTTGCCCAGCTCACGCTCACTCATGGTTCCGAGGGGCCGCGATCGGGCCTCGCAGGGCAGGAGCGCTGTGCTCCCCAGGCCTGAGCGTTGTTTGATTTGCATTCAACTGGAAAGGCTTGTAAGCAGATAGGATCTGGGTAGCTTGGTCCCTGCTAGGCTCTGTCACTCTGAGTCCTGGCTGGCCCCCATGTGGCACTAATGACAGTATGGGAGTCGCCTTAGTACTGGCGTCCTGACCGTGGCCCGCTGGCAGGGGTTTCTCTCTGCCCGCCCTCCAGCTGCACTCCCAGTAATCCCCGATTAGGGCTGATGCTGGCCCGGACTGCAGCGTGGCGGCCCCTCCCCCTGCTCCGCCTGTCCCTCCTCCTTGCGCCCTGGCCAGGAGACTTCGCTTCTCTGCCTGTCTCTTGGAACTGGCACCCCGGGAGTGGTCAGCCATGGTGCAAATTGGCGTGTTCGTGGAACAGAGATGGTAACCCCCTTTAGATTTAGATTTTAAGACTGAAAGGAGCACTCAGCTCTTCCAGGGAAGTGCCTTCCTGCCCCAGCAGAGACCTAAGGCCTTGGCGAGCTGGCCTGGACCTGGGTAGGCAGTCTGCACCTTCAGGTGTCCCTGTGGGCAACAAGTTTGACTGTGAGACCCAGGTGTTCCCTGCAACTGAGGCCCAGTTGGGAAGGCCAGGCACCTTGTTGAAAGGGTCAGCTGCACAGTGGGCTCCCTAGTCGAAGGACCTAGCGATGACCCTTGGTGTCTCCGTGGCACCTGGGGCTGGACACGGGGCAGGCTAGGATGCCTACCTTCCTGGGATGGCCAGCCGGGGAGGCACAGCAGGAAGTCGGCCCGCTCTGCCAGGTGCGCAGGGCACACGGGGTGACACCTAGTAATGGTGAGAAAATGCACCTGCTGCCTCACCCCCTCTTGGGCTCGGGGGTGCAGGGGTTCTCTGGGTTTCTCCCAAGTCTCCCCCCAAGGCCCAGCGTGCTACTTACGGATGGAGACTCATCAGCGGACACACCCGACCCTAAGCCAATCAGATCCCGCACCAACAGCACCTGTCCTCCGCCCGGTCACTGGCCACGCGGCTGAGGTTTCCCTTTTGAGCCCGAGTTTCCGTTTACAACACCAGCTGGTTACCCAGCAATGCCCACACCCCGACGCCCACCTGAGAGCTTCCAGGGCTTCTGCCGCCTCGCCAGCCCTGGGAGCCAGCGAGCTTGTCACCCGGTGCCCGGGGTGGACAGCACTTCCCAAGGCTCGTGCCATCTGGACCAGGGAAGAGAGCAGCCTCGAGAGCGAGGGTCGTGTCCCGGCTTGTCCAGAGAGGCCACCGAGCTGGCCCGTGTCCCAGACAAGCAGAGCTGTTTGTTTCTTTAGTCCTCACCCCAGGATTTTTTCGGAGGAATGTTCTAATGGCTAAGCCCGTGGGACAGTTTGTGGGCCTCATAAAATTTTTGAGAAGGATTCCGCGTGCACACAGAACACGCACATGGCTCGGAACGCCCGGGAGCTTCTGTGATTGACGCGCCTCGGACCGGCCTGTTACATCGTGCCGTGTGTGGCCTGCAGAACCCGAGCTCGTCGACCCGGGTGGCGGCAGCGGTCAGGAGTCAGTGAGGGGCTCGTGGAGGCCACCCTGGACACAGCTCCGCCCCCACGACCCCAGCCCATTGCTTCCCGGAGCCAACATTCAGGGGCTTTCCTGTGGGCCTGCCCACAGGTCACTGCTATCGTCTCGGCGCCTCTTTCACCTTTCTCCTGGCTTGATGTCTCTCAGTGGCCGGGGCTCAGCTCACAGGCCCCTGGCTCACCCCAGCAGCCCGTGCTGGCCCCGTGTCTGCGCCTGTGGCCACTCACCAGCCCGATGGCGAGCCAGGCCCCCGCCCAGCCTGGCCGGCCACCCCCCATGTCCAGCCCACCTGGGCAGGGGTGAACGGCAGCCTGCGGGCGGCTGGAGGGAAGGAACCCACATCCCCTGTCAGGATACAGCCACCCGCCTGGGACGCAGCCACGCCGAGCAGAACGGGCTGTTTAATGCACTTTGTTGTCCCCGCTAAGGCATCAGCACCGAGGCTCGCCCATGACTGCAAACTGTCCCCACGGAGCCCAGGGACGGGCACGGGGCACAGCCAGGCCGCTCTCTGCACCCACCCCTTCTCCCCGCAAGACAGGGTTGCGCGGGAAGGAACAGTGGCTGCAGCGTGAAAGCAAAAGCGAAGGCGTTGAAGCCAAGTGCCAAGTTCCACGCCCTGTGCCCGCGGGCCGGAGGTCGCCTGGGAGGAAGAGGCTGCCCCAGCCAGGGAAGTCTGTGCGCTGTCCAGGCCCGGCTCGCCCGCTGGGTGCGTGGGGTCCTCGCGGCTCCTGTTAGCAGGGTGATCGCTGGCGAGGCCTGGGCTCAGCGCCTCATCTGCAGAAGGCACCGCTGTGGCGCCACCCAGAAGCAGAAGCAGAGCGCCCACGAGGCCGTCTCCGGGAGAGAGGACGGCTGTCCCTGTGCGTCTCCTTGTTTCACGTTCAGGACTACGGGAAGTTTGCAAAAACAACTCCGTTTCTGTGCAGGCCTGCCCCCGGGCGCGCAGAGGCACCGCTCAGCGTTCAGAACCTCGGCGTCACTGCTGGCACCGCGTCGCCCTAATTGGTGGTGTGGGGCTTGGAGGCTGGACGCGCCCTCTGCTCCTCAGGCTCTTGCTCATGGAATCTGGCCTCGGCCCTCCCTGGGGCTTGCTGGGTGACGCTGTTGTTTCTTTCTTCCCTATTCGGGTGAATCCGGGCAGGAGTCCACTGTCCCTCCCCGTCTGTGTTTTGAGTGGATACTCCCCGCATCGCTGTGGAGCCACGGAGTTTGCCTGTGTGTGTGAGGCTGCGTCCGCACTCTGCACGCTTCTCCACGCCTGTGTGGAGACTCTGCTGTCCGGATGCTCGTGCGCGCGTGTGCGTGTGCGTCTGCCCGTCTGCACCTCTCTACATCTAGCTCCATCCAGAGTTCTTGGGGGGGCCCGGGAGAGATCAGAGGCAGCTCTTCCTTGCTTCACTTTATGGCTCCAGCGCGTGTCTCTTCGAGGCTCATTGAACCCCCGTCCCCCCAGGCTCCGCCGCTCCTCCAAACAGCCCCGCCCCCCCACTGGACAGAGGGGTTTAGAAGCCACCGTCGGGGTGTTAGGTATGTCTGTTGCTGCCGGGGCCTCGTTGCTCCGGGACCCCGCAGCGGACAGAGCTGGGCGGCGTCTGCGTGGGGCCGCGCTCCCCTGCGCCCGCGTTCTGCCTCTGCAACCTCGCCCGAGCACGCCGGCTGCCCCGCTGCCGTGCCCTCGCCCCTCGCCCCTCGCCCGTTCTCCTGCAGGCAGACGTGCTTGCTGACTCGCTGGCCACACCGCTACGGAGCCACTGTCGCCGCTCAGTGTCTGTGTCCCACCTGCTGCCCCGCCCACTCTGTGCCCGGCTTGGCGCTGCCTCGCCGCGCGGCGCGTTTCTGCTTGGGCTGCTCCCGCCTCCCTGCTCCGGCCCGCCGGCCCCCACGGCTGGAGTTTGCGTGTGTGGTCTTCCTTTCTCGGCTTTCCGGGGACCCTGCCCTGCTGTGTGGACGTAAGGTCTTGCCTCGGTGTGGTGCTGAGTCTGGAGTGGGGCTGCCGGCCGGCAGGTGCGCAGAGGGGGACGCAGCTTTCCAGGCTGTGCGGTGCGTGCCTGCCCGGCTCCCCGAAACTCAGGACTAGGCCCGCGGGGTCCTTAGCATTGTTTCTTGGTGGGACCACCCCCTCGACGTTACACTTCCGGGCAGGATCTCTTCGGGGTTTTCAACCAGAGGTGCGCAGGTAACGAGGCCGCTGGCATGGAGGGGAGCTGGCACCAGGCTGATCCCAGAAGTCGACATTGTAGCCTTGAGCCTCACAGAAGCTACATTGTCTCGGCCAGCGGCCAGCAGCTGTCCCCCTCCGGCTGCTGCTGGTCCCCGCCTGGCACCCAGCTGCCTGGGCTGCTGCCCCGGAACTGGCCCCTGCTGCAGACGGTGTCAGCAGCCCCCAAACTGACCCTCGTGCTCCAGATGCAGATTTAATTCTCCCCTGATGGCTTTGGGGGTGAGACATGCTGCTGAAGCAGGGTGTAAACCACAAGGTCCTGTGCCTCCCGAGCCGCCCTCAGCATCGGGGATTCTTCGGAAACAGCCTCATAATAGCCTCATCGCTTGCTCATCTGCACTGCGCTAGCCAGAGGCTCTGACCCTGTCGTCCCCACCCGCATGGTCAGGCCTGTAGCTGGAACCAACGGACACAGAGCAACGGGGCGGGGACATGTCCCCACAGCTCGGAACTTAGCTGGGGTGCTGTGCCTGTGCGCGTCAGGAGGCCGGGAGCGGCGCTCCGCCCCAGGGTGTCCTGGCCATCAGCACCCGGCCTTGCAAGAGAACCGACTCAGAAATGGGCACGACACTGACCTTGAGAAGCTGGAAGCGGACACTCCATATGACCCAGCGAGCCTCCTCTTGGCATTTGACAAACATGACCATGTTGATTCAAAAACCCACAGGCTCCCCGCTGTCCACTGCAGCATCTGGCAACAGTGGGGCCTGGACACAGCCCAGTGGCTGCAGAGGGCTGCTGGCTTGAGATGCTGGTCTCTTCTCTCAGAGAGACTGGCCGCTGCCGCTCAGCTGCACCTCTCACTGGGGGATTTCAGATGGGAAGGGCCAGGTGGACACGGGCTGACATGGCCAGGGAGGTGCTAGGGCTGAAGGAGGCCGCGCTGGACCCAGGAGCCTGCTCCCCCACCACAGCGGGCTCCTTGTCCACTGTGAATTCAGATCCTGGGGAAGCTGTGGCCATGGGGGTCCTGCCCGCCCACCCCGGGGCCCAGGAGAAGAGGGCCCCTGCAGGCCCAGGGAGGGGTCCTGAGGTAGCCGGGGTGCATGCAGCCCCACACCCCCGGGGCTCGGCCCCAAGACCCACAGAGCCGCTGCCTGGGTGTCCGTGCTGGAGACACTGGCCCTCGAGGTCTCCCCAAGTTCACTGCAACTTCCTGGGGTTTGTTCCTGCGTTTCCCCCGTCCCACCTTCTCCTGCAACTGAGCCTGCCCCCGAGCAGTGGTGCTGCCACAGGCCGGTGCCTGCCATGCTGCTGCCTGCAGCGCAGACCTGGCCGTCAGGATTGTGCAGCCTTTCCTTAGTTTGCAGTGCCTCTAGCCGGTGTTTGTGTGTGTGTGTGTGCATGTGTGCACATGTGTGTGTGCATGTGTGTGCACATGTGTACCTGGCTTTAAGCAGGCGTCTTCTCATTGTGCTCCCTTCCAGGGCCCGCTGCTCCTCTCCTTCCCGGAGGACCCCCTGCAGCAGCCCCTGGAGCTGGCGGTGCAGCGCGTGTCCACCACGGCCAGGTCGGCCCAGGAGAAGGTGAGCTGCGAGGGCCCCCGCCCTCTCCCAGGGCGTGCCTCGAGCCGGGCGGGTTCTGCCTGCGAGCTGTCAGAAACTGCACGCCTGCGTTGGCCGCCTGCTGTGGATGGCTGATAAAGTGCGGCCCGTCCTGTGGTGGGGTGTCGCTGGCCTTGGAAAGCCTGGCCTCCGTGCAGGCCATGGCCGGGTGGAAGCTGGACCCAGATGCCCCAGAGAGTGGGGCTCCGCATGGACGGGGGACCAGAAACCAGCCCATCAGTGGCTGGGGGGGCCCGATGGGCTCGGGGCTGCTTGGGGGTGCAGAGGGTACTCTGCGAGGGTGCTGGGGATGGCCACACACCTCAGCGCCATGTGCTGAAAAGTCAGCCACCGCGCAGTTTGGTGGGCGGGTCACAGGCGTGTGAGTTACATCCCAGTCATGCACACGTTGACCCCACACACGTGCTCGTGTGACCACCTCTCAGTTGGCCATGGGCCTCACAGGTGATAGAGGCCGGGAGTGCAGGGCTGGACCATCTGGGTTTGTGTAAGTAAGATGTTGTCATGCGACAGAATCGCCACATGGACGTATCCCCATGACTGTGTTTATGTACGTGTGCATGTATGTGTGCGATGTGTGTAGTGCACATGCATTTACATGTGCAGCTCATGTGTACAAGCATGCATGTGGGGTGTGTGCAAGCGTGGTATGTGTGCACGCACCTGGGTATCTTGTGGGTGTGTACATGTGTATGCACGTTTGTGGTATGTACACGATATTGGCATGTACTGGTGTGTACGTGCATGTGTGTCTGTATCTTGCAGTGGTGTGTTGTCTCTGTGTATATACCTCCGTGTGCCTGTGTGCACCTACATGTGTGTGTGCTGGTGTGTGTCTGTATATGTGTATCTATCTGGGTGTGCATGTGTGTTTCCCGTGTGTGTGTGCACACTCATGCTCCCGCTCCATGGCTTGGCCTCACCACACCCCGGCTCAGGACGCCCCAAGCGGCAGGCGCCCCTTCCGCAGGCACCCGGGGGCCGGCCCGCGGCGGCAGGCTGGCGAGTCCCAGCCATCCGAGTCCCAGCCGCCCCAGTTCAGAGCGGAGGAGTGTTCTGGGGCCGGGCCCGGGGAAGAGCGACGGATGCTGGTACAAGTCTCGCTGCTTCAGTGCCCGGCGGGTGCTGCGTGGTGTCCGTCTTGCTACAATTATGAAGTGATGTGTGCGCGCTAACAAGTAAGGGCAACATGCAAGGGTATAAATGAAAAAAAATCTGCTTCCCTTCATTGCCCTCTGCCCCCTGCCCGCTCCCTGCCTACGGGACCAGTGTCCACACTGCGTCCTCAGAGGCTTTGTACACCACCACCCTCCACGCACACAGAGGCCGCACCCAGCACCTGTTTTGTTAGACGAATTTCCTCGTGTTCTCGACTTTTAAGTTTTCTTGGCCGCACGAGGAGAGGAGCCTGTCCTGGGCCTGGCCGGGGCTGGTCTGGCTCTCAGACAAGGCTGCCTCAAGGTGGGCAGCCCCTCCCAGCTCCCTGGCCAGAGCGGGAAGCGGGTCCCCGAATGCTGAGAGTCCCAGTGACACCCCGAGTTGTGTGCATACCCACAGGAGTCGGCCCTGTGCTGGGGACCAGGCCGGCCTTCTCTGGCCCTGGACGAGCATCCGGGTGCCCCGGGACACTCAGGGCACCTGAATCGGCGAGCTGGCCATCCTCCTGGAAGCTGTCCTGGAGGGTCCTGGCCCCCTCGGGGCCTCTGTCATGTGGCCCAGCCACGTCCTGGAGGTGCCAGCAGGAGGATGCCAGTGTCGCGCCCTCCCACCCCATCCGGTCAGCAGCTGGTGCCGGCGTGCGCTGCTCTGCTCCATGAGCTTCTTGACAGGGAAACTATCGCAGCTCGAGCCCCATAAGCAAGGGTATGGTGGAAACCCGGACTCCAAGGACCTTGCCTCTCGCAGCTCCCTGGGGCGTCGGTCTGTCCAGATGCAGCAGTGCCAAGGACACGTGGGTGGCCTAACAGGAGGTGCCCTAACGGGGTGGCCCGCCCAGGCCGGGGGGGCCACAGTCTCGCCTCTGGCTGACCAGATGAGAGTGGGCTGCAGCCCCATGCCTGAGCATCTTCCTGACTGTGTTTGCTCTTGGGCCTCCCTGGGCCCCATTGAGCAGCACCTGCCCTGCCCTTTGGGCACCCTGAGCAGTCCCTGCCCCCTTTTCTGCGAGCCAGCAGACCCCAGGGCCGAAGTAACCGTCCGCACAGGTCCATGACCCAAGCACCCTCATGGCGGCGAGGGCCTCGTGGGTGTGCTCGCCCTGACCCTGGGCGGGCAGTGCCACAGCAGCCATCCTGCTCTCCTGACGCCGCCGGGCTGCACCCCACTCCCATGGACACAGGCCCATGTCTGGCCCTGCTTCAGACGCCAACCCTAGTCGGGGCCACCCGCACCTCTAACTGACTGTCTTTTGAGTCGGGGGTCCTCACAGCTCCTTCCTGGTGTGACCAGTGGCGGGAACAGCTCACAGACCCAGGGAGCCACCGACCTGCTGCCAGACTCAGGTGAAGGGCACCTCTGAGGGGGCCCAAGGGAGGGGCTGGGGGCGCAGGGCATCTGTGCCCTCCCTGGGTGCACCCCCTCCCGGGGCCTTGCACTAAACAACCAGCATCTCTCTGAACCCGCTGTTTGGGGTTTGATGGAGGCATCTTGACATAGGTGTGCCTCATCCCCCCACCCAGGCCTGGCAGGGGAGCCCCGTCTTCATGTGCAGACTCTGGCGGTGGGCGTAGGGGAGGGGCGGCGTGGAGTGGTGTCCTGCCTCCCGGCGCCTGGCCCTGCCTGCTCGTGTAGCCTGGTCTCCCCCACCGTGGCCTCTGCCTGCGCTCTTGCATCACCCCCGGAATGTCTGACCCAGAAGAGGATGCCCGTGTCCAGGGAGCGTCCATGGACGCCCGTGTCCACGCCCCACCCTGCGGCTGGGGGTCGCCCTCACACTGGGCGCTGAGGTCCACCCAGAGTGACGGGGCTGGGGGTGCCTTGCAGGCAGCGTGTTCCAGGTCTTTGGTGTGGGAGAGCGGACGGACAGCGGGGACGTGGAACTGGCGGGGGGGCATGGGGCCCCGTGGGCGTTGGGTACAGCGGCGCCCGTACAAGCGTGTTCTCCAGGGAAGCTGACGGGGCGATATTCCTGTGGGTTGAGGTTTTAAATAAACGTATTGACCCATGGGCGTAGAGACCACCCAGCTGGGAAGCTGGCGATGTGCAGCTGCATCTGGGGTGAAGCACTCCTCTCTGTGAGGTGTGGGTACGTACCCAGCCGGACGAGGTTCCCCAGGCGTAGCTACTGACCTGGGTGCCGGGCTCTTGTGCATCCTCATCGGTGTGCACGACTCCCTCTGCCCATCATACGGGAGAAACTGAGGCAGACTGGCGAGGCACTGAGGTGGCCAGGTCACTTGGCAGCAGAGCCTGGACCTGAACCCGAGTCGCCTCCAGAAACCAGATTTTCATTCTGCGCCGTGAGGCGCAGGGGGGTGGTGTGTGTGTGTGTGTGTGTGTGTGTGTGTGTGTGTGTGTGTGTGTGTGTGTGTGGTGTGCGGGGTGCGCATGCTGGCTCTTTTCTGCCTGCGGCAGCTGCACTTCCCCTGCTCAAAGTGCTGTGGGAGTGTCTGGCCGCCTCTGCTCTGTCCTTGCGCGCTCGGGGCCCCAGGATCGCAAGGGCGAGACTCCAGTTACCCCCGGTCCTGGGGCTGCAAGTGGGAAACTTGGCTGCCTTGCTCCTTGGGCCTGCGTGGCCGGCAAGGCCTGCTAGCTCATCGAGCTGGCACTTCTGCCAAATCGCTACCAGGCTATGGGGACGCTCTGAGGCGTCTTCCCCAGGGCGTGAACTGTGCACCTGAGCAGCCACCGGTAGCCTGAACCCCACCTCCGCCCCGAGGCTAGTCAGCAAGGATGGGCCTGAATGTCTCGGTGGGGTCCTGGTCCAGAGGAGAAATCACGCTTCCCATCCAGGGGCGTTGCTGCAGGGAGGGGCCACCGAGCGGCCAGGGAGGTCTTTGCTCCTGGCGCTTGGGGACCTTTCCGGGGGTCACACGAGGACAGTGGCTGTCGCTCTGTGACAGAACCTCTGTGGTGCTTCCTCTCAGCTGTTCCTAGTTCATTTAGAGACAAACGTCGTTCAACTATTTGCAGTTCTCCAGGGAGTTCCCAGGCAGCAGAGCCGAGGCAGCTGTCCAGCGGCTTAGTTGAAAAGGGAAGCCGGGTTTGGGGGGGCGGGCGGTGCAGCTATTGGCACGTGTTGTTGGAAGCAGGAGAGAGCTGGGAGCAGGCCTGGGGCTCTTGGCCTTGTGTCTCCCTGCAGGATTCCGTTGCAAGAGGAGACTGTTGCACAGCTGCAGGACTCGCTGAGTTTGAGCTCTTGAAGCTGAGAGCACAAGCAAGGCGAATGAGGGTCCCCTCTGTTTTGGGGGTGCAGGTTATAACCAGGGTGCTCCCTTTCACCTCTGACCCTGCTGCTGGCGGCTGCCCTGGGCGGTGGGCCAGGGGGCTGTGACTGTCCACCTGCCAGCTCAGGGGCGCCTTGGCTCAAGCCCCTGTCCCTGTGGAGCCCCCGAGAGGGACCCTCTGGAAGGGACGGTAGGGGGCTCCGGAATCACAGCCCAGCTGGCCGCTCCATTCAGAAATGGCCTCTGTCACCCGGGGGTTCTTTGCGTGCCTTTGGGGGAATGCTCCGGGGCAAGCAGGTGATGGGTGGCTGCTCATTCTGTGACCGAGGGCCTTGCAGCGGGCAACCCTGCTCCTGCTGTCCTGGAGGGGACCCTTGGACAGGGGCTGAGAGACGCAGTCTCCACGCAGAGGAGCCCTTCACGCATGGCCTGAGGTCGCTTGTTTTAAGCATCTGTTCCGCTGTGCCCTCCTCCACCTGCCTAGCGGGGACAGGGCAGGTGCTGGCCCAGAAGGGATTTGGGCCTGGCCCCTGTGGCCCCGCCGGGTGCAGGGGAGCAGTGGCCTTTGTCCGGCGACCGGCAGTGGCCATGGAGCCCCAACAGGCTTTCCCCGCGGAGTGGGCAGGCCTTGGAGGGCGGCGCCGGGCTCTGGGGTCTCTGCATCCCGGGACGTGGCGGCCTCGTCCTTAGCGGGCACCACCGACTTGCCTGCGGTGCCTTGAGTGGTAACTGTGATCTGTGGACTCTCGTTCCAGAAGGCTTAGAGTCTAAAAATCCTGCTTTTTGCTGAACGTGTTTATCTTGCTCTGCGCCACGTGCCAGGACGCTCGCGCGGCGGGCAGAGGCGGGCAGACTCTCCGCAGGAGCGGTACCAGCCGGCGCTGTCTCGCCGCGAGGCACCGTGTGACCCTGCCAGGGTGCTGGGAACACTGTGATTAGCTTCATCCAGAGGAGTCCCAAGAAATGGCAGACGTCGGCCCGTCACTGTCTGGCTGGTCACCTGAAGCAGCGACCAGGCTGTGGAACACAGGGTGGTGAGGGTTCCCTGTTGTGTGGACGTGCACACACATATGCACATGTATGTGTCATGTGTGGCATGTGATGTGCCTGTTGTGTGTTACATGTGTGCCGTGTGATCGTGTCTCTGTGTGACGTGGTAGGCATGAGCCATGTGTCGAGTGTTGGGTGTTGGATGTGTGTTATATTGCGTGTACGTGTGTGTGTGCGTGTCACTCATCTGGCATCAAAATCAGTCCCTCCAACGAGGTTTGTTTCTAGAGCATTTATTTTTAAAACATGTACATGACATTCCTTAGACAAACATTTGTTCCAACCTCCTGTGACCCCTGCAGGGGCCGGAACAGATAAAGGTCCGTACGGAGAGGCCGGTCAGCCTACAAGGGCCGCCTCGGAGGCCATGAGTGGGGCTCTTCCGCCCAGGCGACCGCTCCCCGTCCAGGGCTTGGGCGGCGGACACTGCGGGGGGCCCCTGGCTGGGGCGCTGGCAGGCCAGGACTGCGGAGACGGGCACTTGGGTGGTGGGATAAGCAGGGAAACGGGGCAGAGTACCCCAGGGCTTGTGAAACAGCAGGCTCTGGCACAGTCGCTGTGTTGATAGTCTCCCCACGTGGTGTTCTGGACTCTGACAAGTCCACTGGGGGATTAAAGAATTTTCCTTCCCTGCGGCAGCCTCCGCTGGGGGCGTCAGTTCCCTGGGGTGGGGAGGGGCCTGTCCTGGTCACTGGCTTCCCGAGGGCCTCTGGGGAAGACACACCAGCCCCTGCTGGACCCCGGCCCCCGCCCTGCCCACACACCTGGCCCCGGCCTCCGTCCCCAGGCTGGGCTGGCTGGCGCCTCGCCCGGAGGCCCGACCCTCTCTGGAAGCTCCATTCAGTGGAGGCCCCGGCAGGGACGCGGCTCCTCCGAGGGGCAGCGGCTCCTACCAGCCCGTCTGGATGCGAACGGCGGCTGGTCTCCTCCTGGCGTGACCCTGCTTTTGCCGTTCAGGCCCTTTGAGCCAGCCCGGCCGTGACTGCGTTTTTGTGGAGGCCGTGGGTCTCGCGACTGGCGTCTCTTACGTTCTTTGACGTGTCCCCATGTCTTTGAAACTGCGGTAGATCAAAAACTAGTTAGAGGCAATTTCTTGTGGTCTGGGCACGTTTTTGAGCTTGCACTTCCAACACCTAGGACGTGTTTTACCTGTAAGGCTCATTGTGGGCCAGAGGCGGGGACCGACACTGTGACCCCACAGCATGAGGGGTCCCGGCCATGTGGGGACAAGGTGCCCTTGGGGAGTGGGCATGAGAGGGCTTCGCCCCTGAGAAAATAGTCGGGAGGGAAGAATTAAAGATGGTGTCCAGCTCCCAAGCCCCTGCGTGAGAGCAGACCGGAGCCTGTCGTCGAGTGGGAAGCCGGGACGCCTGCCCTGCTCCCGGGGAGGCCCGGGGTGTGTCTGGCCCACCTGCCTGGTAAGACCCCTTGTCTCGCCCTCCTCCAGGTGGTGACTTGCCACGTGGTCGGGGACACCCTCCAGTTCACAGTCAGCACGGGGCCAGCCCCCCAGGACCCTGGAGCCCGGCTGTATGACGTGCGGCTCTCCCCTTTCCATTTACAGGTAAAGTGGGGGGGACTTCACGAGTGCAGGGGGAGGAGCTCTCTGTCGGGAAAGGGTGGCGGATCCCCACTTCTGTTAATCACCATTCATGATTTCCGCCTGTAACCCTCGTGCTGTCTGCGGGAGATGGAAGGCGTGTTGTGTGTCTGTGTAGACACGTGTGCTGTGTCTGTGCACACACGTGTATACACTGAACTCAGGGGTTGCCCGCTATCAGGAATGGGATGCGTGTTTCCGAGGCATGTGCTGTGGGCCCAAGAGCAGGGCCTGGATGTGTGGGGCCGGGAACATTGTTCTGCCCCAGCCCCACTGCTACGGCCTGGGGCACGCGGCTGGAGAGCGGGCACAGCCCGAATGGGGCATCCCCTTCCGGCTGCCAGAACATTCAGCTCTGAGAGTTCCCTTATTGTTAGAAGTTAGAAGATCAGTGTTGTCATTGTTCTTCTGACGAGGGCATGTTATAATAATCATCGTGGGCTTATACGTGATGGAAGCTGCATATTCCATGATTTTCCACAACCGCGTGTCATAGACACGCGTGCAGCGGCTTTAGATGCAGCCCGTGTGCACCTGGCAGCCGTAGGGCACGTGGGGACTGTGACCTGCTCCTGGAGGTGACTGCGACTCACGCCATGCTCCCTGCATGCCCCTTTAGCTAGCGCTTAAAATCTTAAAATCTGAGTCTACTTTAGGGGCCACCGCGGATTCAGCCCAGGGCTGCCCCTCAGCCACTGGGGAGTGATTCCCACAGGCTTCCCCTACAGAGACAGGGTCTGGAGTGGGCGGGACAAGCAGGATTTTCTGGCCACCTGAATGGCTTTTCTCCAAAAGCTAGCCGCCCCAAATCTCCTCCACTCATGACACTCCCCTTTGGGAGGTGGGAGGCCCTCTGGCTCCCCCGGTTTTGGACAAGGTGATTGGAAAAGAGTTTCCAAGGCTGGGAGCCTGGAGGGTCCAGGAGGAAATGAGGCTTCTGAGATGCTGGCTGGTGCCGGCCCCGGCCCCTTACCGCCGACAGACGCCACGCCGGGCGGCTCTGATCTCCTCACACCGTTAAGTCAGCTCGCGGACTAACGCGGAGGGGCTGCTGGGTGATCGAGGTCCAGGCAGCAGGTGTCCCCGCCCTGCAGGGCTTCAGGTGAAAGATGCATCAAAGGGCCGGGGCTGTCTCCTGTCCCCACCCCACCCCACCCCTGCCTGGCGGGGCTCAGGACTGTGGGCCGTGCGAGTGCGTCCACCTTTCCTGGAGGGCGTTTCCCTGGCCTGCGTGGTGAGAGGCCAGGGCTTCGGAGATGCAGCTGAAAGCTCTTGCTTTTGTTGAGGAGAAAGGCTGAGACATTGGTTAGGAACCGAGAAAGGAGGCGTGGTAGAGGTGACCCTCGAACAGCGCAGGGGTGAGGAGACTGCCCCCCCCCCCGCCCCGAGAAAATCCACTCCCAGAGGCTCACCCGGCGGCTGCAGCCGGAGGCCTCGCTGCGTTACCACGGCTGTGCCGGCGACCATCCACGCCACGGTGGGAGACGGTGACTCCCGGTGCAGGAGACCGCAGGGGCCGGGCAGTGTTTGTGGACAGAGTTTACATGCCTGTTGGCAGACAACTCCTTGCTGCAGGAAGGCCCGTGTCGGTCCAGGGTCAGCTGTGCTGCTGTGGCCACTGCCTCTGGCCCTGCAGACCAGCTTAGAGCACACGCGTCCCCCACAGCCGTTCTGGGGGCCCCACATGGGCAGAAGCCAAGGTGCAGGCGCTGCCTCCTTTCTGCAGGCTGGGGGTGGGGATGTGGAGACCATGTCCTTGGCTGTTAGCAGGACGCGGCTTCCAGGGCTGTGCACTGGCGGGGGGGCCAGCTCTGCCGGCTGCCACCTAGACCCGGCCTCGCTCCTGGCTCCGTCTATGTGCTCTCGCTTCTGCCCCTCCTCGCCCCCCGCTCCGGCCCCTGTCTCCACCCCTCCATCTCCATCCCCCTCCCTGTCCCCCGTCTCCATCCCCTGTCTCCAGCCCCCGCCCCCGTCTCTGTCCCCCGTCTCTGCCCCCCGCCTCCATCTTTCCAGCCCACTCTGCTGCTCCCGCCTGCATGTCTAAGGGCTTTGTGGAATCAGATATGGGAACAACCCGGGACTGAGCTCAGGTTCCCAGCCCACGGCGCTGACCCAACTGCACCCACCAGGACAGGGCCACCTTGACAGGTTTAGGGATGGGGACATCATCGGGGGCCTTTGTTCTGCCACCAGTGGCAGGCGGGGCTAGAGCGGGCACTGAGAGGCCAGGGCAGCGGAGGCCACGTCGGGGCGCAGGCAGGAGCGAGCAGCCGCTCCCGGTGCAGCCCGCGCCCCCAGGGGGCTGAGAGCCCGGGCCGGCTAGGGTGTCCTGGGCCCCTGCGCTCCCTCCTTCGCGCATCCGCTCCCGGGATGGCGGTGCCCGCGGAATCCTGCGTTTAGAAGCAGCAAAGTCTCAGCGGCCCCTGCTGCCACCCTCCTGGGCTGAGGCGCCACCTGGGTGGCAGGCTGAGGCAGGGAAGGTGTGGGTGGGGCCGGGCGCAGTGGGGAGCGGGAGGCACGGGAGTCTGGAGCCTGCCTCTGCTCTTTGAAAGCACCAGGGCCAGCAAGGGGCCCGGCCACGGGCTCAGACCTGAGCGAACCGTGTGCACAGCGCTTGGAGCCGGGGGGCCCCCGTGACGGACTCTCTTTGCTTCCTGGCAGCTGGAGCTGCACCTGAAGGAGCAGCAAGAGGACATCCCCATCACGTGGTCCTTCATCAGCGGCCCGGAAATGGCCATCACAGTCCAGCCCAGGGCCCAGGGCGAGGTCAGTCCCTTCGTGTGTGACCCTCCTCAGAGGCGTGGCGTGCGGGCACATTCCAAATCCCAACGCCCCCCCAACCTGATTCGGGGTGATCTGAGCTGGACGTGCTGAGCGGGAGGACCCCTGAAGTCGGGACCCCCGGTTTTCCTGGCCACCCGGCTTCCCTTCTGTATAGGGCCCGTCCTGCCACGTGGCTTTGCAGAGACGGGTCTCCTGCCTGGGGGCCTTGGTCTTTGGTGTCCGTGGAGCTGCGGTTGGGGGCAGGGAGGGGGCCAGGTCGCTGCCTTCCCTTTGAGTTGCTGGTAAGATTGTCCAGAATCCTCGATCCCCAAGGCTAGCAGTCGGGGCTTTTCCCTGGCAATGGCCTTTGCAAGATCTGCACCTGGACCGAGCCGCTGAGCTCCACCACGAGTGCACCATGCAAATGTCAAAGCTTCTTGGTCCGTGAGCAGTCTGGCCCCCTGTGCCTGGGGAGAGGCCGGAGCTGGTTAGAGGCGGGGTCGGAACGGCTGCCCTTTGAACTGGAGCATGGCAGCTCTGTTGTTGCGCCCGGCCGTTCCTTACACAGGGCACGCGGGTGCCGTGCATCTCCCCCCACCCCCTCCCCGCCCACCCCAGTGTCCTCTCCCGCAGCTGCACTGTTTGCTTGCTCCCCCGTGTGCACAGCAGAGAGAGCTCTGTGAACCGTCCCCAGCCCGGGCGACATCCAGGCTACTGGCTGGAGCTCAAGTGGCCTCTGGCCCCCGTGTCAGAGGGGTCCTGTGCGGGCCGAGCTCCTGGAGAAGCGGCCGGTCGGTTTGTTTCCCTGTGCGCGTGTGGCCGGGGTGCTGTGAGGGCGGCTGTCCGCTCCGGGGACCCAGCCTAGTGTGGGGGCCCAGCCTGGCTGATTTACACACGTTGAATATGCAAAATCTCAGCGTGTGCCAAAAGTTAACGTAACGGACTCTTTCCTCAGACAGGCCGGCCTCCCAGCCTGCCCTGTGCGGGGACGCGTTCCTTTTGTTTTCGTTTTATTCTTCCTGGATTGCTTTTGCAAAAACCATCTCATCCCCCTCTCTTGCCCAAGCAGCGGCGTGCAGCCTGCGCCCCCAGCACCTGCCCCCACACGCCCTGTTCTCTTCCCCGACTCCCCCAGGTCCCAAAGAGGCGGCCCCTGGAGCTGACTCCTGAGGGCCCAGTCACCGGCCCTGGGCCCTGGTGGACCGGACGGCTTGGGGGCAGCTTCCTTCAAAGGGAGGCCCCGTGTCAGCTGCTCTGGGGATCTCAGCTGTGATGGAGCCCAACATCCAAGCACCCTAAAACTCACCTTTCAGCTGGCCCCGAGACGCCCTCTGCCCCTTCCACTTGTGCCTGCCACCCCCAGGGGCAGCCGTGCCCCGACCTCCGGCGGGCCTGGGTTCTCTGCACCTGGGACTAATGCCACAGGCCTCGCGTCCAGCCTCTCATGGCCGGCGTCCTCAGTCGGCCATGGCGTCCAGCATGCTCAGGCCCCAGGCTGTGACCAAGGAGCCAGGAACGCAGGACCCCTCCCAGGCTCGGTGGCAACTGGCAAAACTCGCTTCATGGTGGGTCTGCATGGAGGCCCGACTCCCTGCCGGCTGTCGGGGGCGGGGGCCCTGCAGCTCCGGGCCACGGGAATGTGACTTCCTCAAGGGAGGCAGGAGAGTCCTGTCCAGCCTGCTAAGGGCATGGCCAGTGCCGTTTTCCTCGACGGGACGCCCGGCCCGGCCCTTCCTGCACCCGGGGTGGGGGCTGCACAGGGCCTGGCTGGCTGTGTACTGGGGTCCTGCCCACATCAGCATCCCGTCGTGCGTGCCAGCTGGGGACTGCTGGGGTCTGCGGGCTCTTCTGCATTGGGTTTCTGTGCACGAGGCGGCCGAGCGGCGCCCAGGTGGTGCGTGGCTGTGATGGCCGCGTCTGCGCCCGGGGTCCTCCGCCAGCTGCTGCACCGTTGACCTGCCTACCTGCTAGTGGCCCCTAAAAACAGTTCTAGCGGGGGGCTGTGAGTGTTCTGGAACTGGAGCCTGCAGGGGCGGGTCTTCGTCTTTCTAGCTTTTCAGCCAGAAACGCAGTCTCGCAGGAGGCCACTTCACTCAAGCTCCTCTCATGCTCATTAGGCCTTTCCATTCACTTCAGTGCTTTTTGATTCATAAAACTAGATGTGACTCGAGAGAGAAGACGGCGCGGCTGTGTTTGGGGACAGACTGAAAGGACAGGCGTGGGAATAGCAGCTCGTGCCCGTGGGGCTCGTGGGTTTCTAGACCATTTTGTTAATAAGGAGCGTGACTTCGGTCAGAGGCCAGTAGAAAGGACCCTCTCTGCCTCAGGGCAAGGGAGGTCTCCCAGGCCTGGCCTGTGCCTGCAGCCCTGCCACCCCAAGTTCGCCTCGGTTCAGGGGAGCTGAGGGTCTGCACCATTGCGCGCGTGTGAGGTCAGGGCAGCCTGAGATGCCTCTGGTTTGCAGGCCCAGGCGGCAGAGGCCAACGCCGTGTCTGAAACGCTGAAGGACCTTCTGAAGCACCTGGTGACTTGCTCCTGCCCGTCGGTAGTGCTGAGCACCAGGCCTGTGAGTGCCAGGGAGGCTCAAGTAAGTGTGGCGGGTGCGGGGGCTTCAGGGGGAGTTGGCCCACTGCTGGAGCCCTGTGGGGGGTCCCCTGCCCGCAATGGAGCGAGGCTGCATGGTGCTTGCAGGTCTGAGACGGCGCTTTGAGTTCAGGCCACGCTTCCCACGCCCTGGCTGGAGGGAAGAGACAGGTGCCCGTCTGGCCCTAAAGATCCTCTGACCACCCCAAGCCAGCTGTCTAGACCCCCCCCCACTCCCAGGAGTGAGGCCCCGACATCCTAGTTAGCAAGGAGATGCCCAGGAGCAAGCAGTGCCCGGTGTCGGGCTGACTACCAAACTCACATGTCACGGTTGACCTAACCCCTGGGCACTGGTGACCAGCAGGTAGACACAGACAGTCGCCCACCACACACGTGCAGCTGAGCACAGCGCCACGCCCCACCCAGGGCCAGACTGCTCAGCCCAGGGGCGGGGACCGGACCCCAGGCTTCTGTTGCTCCCTCTCAGCCCCCAGCACCACCCAACGAGATTCAGGGCCACCCTCTCTGGCTGAGCACCTTGCTCCTCCATATGTCCTCCTGGGATATGAAACACCCCAGACAAGAGACACAGGCGGCTGATAAGTAACCCCCACTTCCATACAATGGGGCGAATGTTCAGAGCAGACCCAGCCCTGCTCCCTGTGCACCCCAACAGTGCCTGCACCCTGGCTTTAGCCTCCCACACCTTTGTTCCATTTTCTTGCAGGATCTGCAGCGCCCTCCATCTGCTTCTCAGGAACCCTGCCCCCCCAAACCCCCACGGGCTCACGAGCTCAAATTACTGGTGAAGAACATCCGAGCGTCCTTGCTAAACGCTCCTGGTGCTTCAGGTAGGGGGGCAGGGGCTGCTGGGGGGCAGCGGCTGCTGGGGGGCTGGGGCTGCTGGACAGGAGGGACTGTCTGCAGCAGGCAGCAGGGCTGAGGGGTGCCTGCTGGCCCTTGACCTCCGCGCCTCCCTCCGTCGCGTGTGCAGTGTGAAGATGGTAACGGGAGTGCCAGAGCTTAACCGCAGCCCCTTAGCGCCCGTGTGGCGGGACGGGGGAGCACGCTGGCCGTTGTGGCCCCTCTGTCTGGGGGGTGCCGGGGCAGGACGCACCTTCCCATGCTCAAGTTGGCGGAGGAGAGGCGCGCGCTCTCGAGCTCTCACGTCTGAACAGGGAGGGGTTCCCCTGCCTCCCGCAGCACACACAGGCCGGACACCAACAGGCTAGTGTGGCTGGTTTGTTTGGGCAGATGCCCTGAGGCCACACAGCTTAGCAGTGGAGAGGAGCCTCCCTGGACTCATAGGCCAGAGGCCCAGGGGCCCCTCCCAGCAGCAACCCATCTAGGGCCGAGCTCCCCTAGAGGTGGAAGGTGTGGAACGCGAGAAGGAGCCGCACCTGCAGCCACAGCTGGAGACGGCGTGTCCCCGGCTACATGCGGGTCGGGGCCTAAATAAGCCAAGACCCTGGTCATTAATTCAGCCCTTCTCTTAGAAGCACAGTTTACAAAATAAGACTCCAAACCAACTTGGCGCCTTCTATTCAATTACAGGCAACTCTAACCTGCTGTGCGTAGTTCGGCTGAACGACCCTGTTCAGAAGTTCTCCGGCGCCCTCCTGAAAAACACTACCAACCTCGTTTGGGAAGAGGAATTCAGCTTGTGTGTGCAGCCCCTCATCCTGGGTTGGGGGCCACGGCTACACCTGTTCAGGGCCACCTCATCCTGGCACTTCATAGTACCTTTCATGCCCCCCAAAAATTAAAATGAAAAAAGATTTGTCTTAAAGGTGTGCTAAGCATGCTAGGGAGCTCTTAGCACACGTGGGTTCTTTCTCAAGGCAACTACTAGTGTTTTCTTCCTCCTCCCCGTGTCCCTGTGCTGGGAACAGAATTTTCAGGTCTCCTAGTTGCCTTAGAAACATCCAGGACGAGAGAAAGCCTCTGGTACCCAAATCTGCCATGGGAATAGACAAAGGGAAAAGTATAGGCTATTGGTAATTAGTAATACAGGAATTCTAAATAAAATATTATCAAATGGAATCTGGCAGCACATTAAAAATACTATACCATGATTGGCTGAGTTCATACAGGTAATGGAAGGGTGGTTTAGTGATGAGATCTCCCAGGAAAAGTCACTAGATCAGATGAGGAAGTAAACTTACTACCTCTAGATATGCAATCAGCTCTTCCATCATATTTAATTACTATCCGTTCCTAATTTTTAAAATCTTAATTAGAACAAGATTTATGGCTACTTCTCTAATTTGATTTTAAAAAAATCACTGTAAATGATAGGCCAGAAGTAGTACCATGGAAGTCCAGGAAAGACACCCACTGTTTTTGTAGAAATACTGGTTTGTGTGATTAGATAAGAAAAAAAAAAAAAAAAAAGACAGGCAAACACGGAAAAGAAGAGATAAAATTAATCATGACTTGAAGATATTTTTGCATGTCTAGACTTACTCACGAAAATCAAAACTCTTCAAAATAATGGAATAAATTGGGAAATTAATAAAACATCTCAGTAAAGTGACAGGCTACAAAAATATAGTAACCAATTGCTATTGATACATAAATAATTAGAAAAAGTAATGGGAGCAAACCCCCATGTATAATCTGAAGAACTTTTATCATCATTAATGGAAATGTAAACATGTCCTTAGAAAATGGGGCAAATTTTCTGACCTAGAACTACATAGGCAAGCACCAGAGATAGCTAAGACTTTCTGAAAAGAGGTTCAGTGCTAAAATCTTAACAGATTTACAAAAGGCCATGCCAAAGTAATGTGAACACAGACCAAATGCAAAATTAAACAACAGAGACTATTTTCCACCTTACAGGTAGGTAAAGAATAAGGGTTTCATACCGTCCCGGAGGCCATCAACATCTATCAAAAAGAAAATGTCTTAAATGCTTGTACCTTTTGACTGCCAGTTCGTTTTGCTAAGGAGACAACCACACCACATAAACAAGATGGATGTATAAAGCTGTTTGTCTCAGCTCATTTATAATCATGAAATATTACAAATAACCAACCTGTTATCAGGGCTGCTTCACGTTCCCAGAAGGCAGATAGTGGGGTACCAGGGGTCTTTCAAAATCCCCCTGGCTTGGAAAGATGACTGTGGATCTTAAGTGATAAAAAATGGGTCACAGAGGAAGGCGGGGGTGTTACAGTCCACATTTTTTATTTTTGGATAAATCATGTGGCCGAACTTTCCAATGCAGTAACCACCAGTCATGTGTGGCTCTTTAAAAAAATCTCACTTTGTTAAAATAATACACAGTTTGGCTGGTACCTCAGCCTGCACGAGCCACGTATCCGGTTCTGTGCACCTGATACAGGTGGAGCTCTGGGGAACACTTCCCTCGCCCTCCAGAATATTCTGTTGGCTACTTCTGGGAGACTTCTCTCCAAATATTAGCAGTGCTGTTTCTGGAGCGTGCGATTGCCAGAGGTCTTTGTAGGTCTGGATATAGGTCTCCGTAGTAACCATATAGATGGTGACTCCTGTTCCTTGCTATAGTCAGAAAAAAATACTATTTTGAAAAAAAGAAGGAAGCCTTGTAAGGACTCACTGTTCTTTTCCTTTCTGCAGTGATTTGAATGCAAAGTCGAAGGAGCTGTGCCTGCAGATTTCAGAGGCCGGGGGAGCCTCGGAAGGTGGGTGGACAAAGGTGGACAAAGGCCCTGCTGGAGGGAGGGGTCCAGCCCCTTGACCAGGCCTGGGGAGCGGGTGGGGGCAGGGCCGGTCCTGGACTGCTCTGGTTTCCCTAGGGGACGGGGGCTGATGTCCCTTCCGGCTTCCCGGCTGCCTCCACACCAGGGAAGAGTGTATTTATGGCTTTCTGTGGTCAGCCCTCCACCCCCAGCCTCTACCCCGACTGGTTTTTGGTTGGTTTGCTCTTTTAACAAACTTCCAGAATCTTTTATTCAACGACAATTGGCTTAGAGGAGGCAGCTCTCGGCCCTCTCAGGTCAACAGCACTTTCCTTTTTAAAATTTGAGTTGTGGCACAACACACACCATGCGGATGTGTCATCACCACCGGCCCAGCTCAGGGCAGCCCAGGGGCTGGCGCTCGCCCAGCGCCTCCAGAGTGTTCCCTCTGGCGAGACTGAATCCCTCACCCGCTGAACATGGGGGCCCAGCCCCCACCCCTCCACCTCCTGTCTCTGGATTTCAGCGGCCTTATCCTCATAAACCCCCAAACCCCCGCAGCCGCTTACACTGGCCACGGGCTTTCGATACAAGAAAGCAACAATTCCAGGTCGAATCACTAAAGTGAACAGGGAGCTGTGTCTGTGCAGGTGTGTAATCTGTAGTTTCTATGTTGATTTTAAAAAATCCACTTAAACCTACCAAAGTGGAGGGGTGCCCGGCCTGGCCTCTCAGCTATGGAGCCCTTGGAGCCTCTCCTCAAGCCACAGGTGTTCAGGCCAGTAGCTAGGAGCGGGATCCCGAGCCACTTCCCTGGACTCTGGTCTGGGGTGGCCGTGGCCCCTGGTAAGAACTGGCCTCCGGGAGAGGGCGGGGTCAGACGCTGGGCGGGCTGCTGTTGGCTGGAGAGGGGTGTCCTCACCAGTCCTGGGGCGCCACCCCTTCCCACCCTACCTCAGTGTGGTTCCAGGCCATCCTGAAGGGGTCCATAAAGTAAATTCCTCACGTAGAAGCAGAGACCAGAAGAGCCAGGAATCCCCTCCGGCTCCCGCGACTTCTGTACCTGGCCCGTTTGTTTCCTCTGTTATCCGTGCACGTGTGGCTGCGGCTCTCGCTCTGCACACCCCCAGCCTCCCAGAGGAACTTCTCCCATTTGAGGGAAGTTGCATGCGTCAAAGCTCTGCGCCCCTAACTTTGTCATGTGGATTTCCAAGACTGGGACTGCTCTCTGCCCACAGCGTGGTCACCAGCTCAGGCCGGCCACAAGTCTCAGCGCCGCCCTCTTCTGATTCACCCGCCCCGGACCCTGCACGGGCTGGGCTGGGATGTTGCCTGGGGCCTGCACATCCTCGCCCTCCCAGGCCTGCAGCGTTTCCGCCGTCTTCCTTGGGCCTGGACGACAGAGGCGGTCTTTAAATGCCCTGCCGGAGACAGATGCAGCCGTCCTGGGAGGGCAGCCCGGGGGGACGGAGGGGGTGGTTCGTCCTAAGGACACGGAGACTTGAGCATGTGCCTCCCTTGTCTTTTCAGCTCTGCTGGCAACGGCGACCGTCCCTCTAGATTTATTTAAGAAGCAGCCTGCTGGGCCGCAGAGCTTTACGCTGACCAGCGGATCCTCGCTGAACAGCTCGGTGTTGGGCTGGGTCTCGGCGGAGGTAGGCGTGTGTGCACGGCGGGCCTCCCATGGGCTCCGAGGAGCCTAGACCTTTCTGGGTGTAACTGGGATGCTTCCTGCCCTCCACGGTATGGTGTGTCCACCTGCCAAGTGGACTCCAGGCGTCCTCTGCACGGCCTCGCCCAGTGGGGGATGCTGTTTCATGGACTCCCTCCTCCCTTCCCATCATTCCGTGTCGCATGACCGGGCTTGAGCCTGGGTGTCATCAGCCTATGTCCATTCTGGGGCGATCGGGGTCTGTCTTCATCTAATACCAGGTGATGGACATGAGCTGAGGAGGGAACCGAGGTTCCATTCAGACACGTAACCAGGCTCCTCCGCAGTTTTCTTATACAGAACCTGGTGAAGCCAAGTCCTGGCAAATTCCTCCGCCTGTCCCTGCCGCAAAAATAGAGAAGGACCGCACGGTGATGCCCTGTGGGACGGTGGTCACCACCGTGACGGCTGTGAAGACCAAGCCCCGCTTCGACGCCGGGAGGGCGTCCCCGCTGGGCTCAGGTGAGTGATGCTGAGGCGTCGGGCCCCACGGCGCGGGGAGATGCGCTGCAAGCCTGCTGCCCAGCTCTTTTGTTAGACGATCCTTTCAGTTTTGTCAAATGAACACAAGACGAGCCAGGGCGAGGCTCAACCCGGTAGTATGTTCTGAAGCCAAAATCCAGACCTTCGTCGGGCTGACTGGCTAGATCGAGTTCCCCCTGGTGTTCACAGGGCCTGCAGGCGCTCTTACCCGGTGGAGGGGGGTGGGTGTAGTTCCTCCTCATCAAAGCACTTTTTAGACGCTGGATGTGACCCTGGATGGGGTCACAACTTCTGCACAAGCACAGGACTGGTGATTGTAAACTCATGCAGTGTATCTGCTCGTACAAAAATAGTATCTTCCTGGAATAGACGGCTTGGCACAGTGGTTGATGCAAAATAGAAAGTGAAGTGCTGGCTTCATGAAAATGTCTCTGAAACCTAAGACCGCCCCCGACCCGGCACCCCAAAGGACAAAAAGGGATAGGAGTTTGCTGAAGTCTCAAGGCTTGGCCTTGCCTCTTCCACCTGCCTGAGTAGATGGGTGGAAGGGAGAGAGGTGATTTCACCTGTGGGAGCTGGAGCCAGGTGTAGAGAGTCCTCCTGATCAGAGCTTCTGCTGCAGAGTCTCCCCTGAAGACGCCCGTCAAGGTGAAGGTAATCGAGAAGGACATCTCGGTGCATGCCGTTGCCTGCCGTGGAGCCCCGGTCAGCAAGACACTGTCCTCTTCCGACACAGGTGACACCTGCTGGAGCCTTGCCCTGCTGCTGTAGTCCTGCCCACCGCCACCCTTGCCGGGTCCCCAGCTGCCCTGGCCCCGCTTCCAGCCACTCAGGCCCCGCCCCCAGTTGCTCTGGCCCCGCCTCCAGCTGCTCTGGCCCTGCCTCCAGCTGCTTAGGCCCTGCCCCCAGCTGCTCTGGCCCCGCCCCCAGCTGCTCTGGCCCCGCCCCCAGCTGCTCTGGTCCTGCCTTCAGCTGCTAAGGCCCTGCCCTCAGCTTCTCTGGCCCCACCCCAGCTGCTCAGGCCACACCCCCAGCTGCTCTGGACCTGCCCCCAGCTGCTCAGGCCCTGCCCCCAGCTGCTCTGGACCCGCCCCCAGCTGCTCTGGCCCCGCACCCAGGTCTCGGTCCTGCCCCCAGCCGGTCTCATCCCGCGCAAACCAGCATCTCCTTCCAGGGGCTTGGGAAGAGTAGCATCTTTTGAGAAATAAGTGAAGAGGGGTGACATCGAAGTCCATGATAACAGGGGTTGGGGGGGCCCTGCCTCAGGGACGCTCTAGGACACTTGAACACGGTGAAAACCCGGCTTAGCTGCCACGTTTCCAAACGTGGTTTCTGCTCTTGGTCACCAAGCCAGTTACACGAATTCCCGAAGTAGTGGCAATCAGAGACAGACTCATGGGACAGCGTGCCCTGTCCCCCCTCCGCCCTGGCCCCGGCACCTGGGCAGTCACCCCTACCCTGTCTTCAAATCTGGGGCCCCCAGCGTCAGCTCCCCTGAGGACAGCAGGGAGCCGGGCTCGGGCGCGGGCGGCGTAGGAGGCGCAGGCTCACAGCTCCCCTTGGCGTGTGCCCCTCCCACCCGCAACTATGTCTCTCCATGGACTGGTAGGGTGCTGGTGATGGGCACTGGTGGTGGGCATGCGGGGCAGCCCTGGGTCTTTGCACGTCGCCTCTGTGGTCCACAGGCACGGCCGAGGCTGAGACGGGAGAAGCTCCCTCCCACCTGCCCCCTTGTAGCCTGGCCCTGGCCCTTCCTCATAGCGACCTTGTCAGCTCTCAGCCTCCCTGAGTCTGAGACCCGGGGGTCCCAGGGTTCTTGTCAAATGGGATAAAACACCTGCCTCTGGGAGTTGGGGGTCACATGAGGTAGGATGCACCACCTGCCGAGGCTAGAGCTATAACTTACCTCCAATAAACTGCACGAATCGCAGGTGTCAGGTGTCTCACAAACTCAGAGAATGGGCTGCAGACCAAGGCGTGGGACCGGCTGGGGCCACCCCTTGCTGAGGCCACCACGAGCTGCTCATCCCTGTCCCCAGTCGTATGGTTCCCGCAGGAGCCCGGGCCCGTCTCGTGCCCTCCCTGACTGTCTCCATCCCCATAGCAGCGTGAGTTGGTGCGGCAGGGGCTGGATGGCCGCAGGACTTGAACTATTTGCTCTCTGGCCTTTCCCGAGAGTACCTGCCGCCCCCTGCCAGGGACGCGCCCCCCGACCCCTGGAGGGCCGCCTGGCTTTGCCGTGCTCGCTAACGGCCCTCCCGTCCTGCAGAGCTGCTGGTGTTGAATGGCTCTGACCCCGTGGCCGAAGTGGCCATCCGGCAACTCAGCGAATCTTCCAAGCTGAAGCTCAAGTCCCCGCGGAAGAAGAGCACCATCATCATCTCGGGGGTCTCCAAGGTGCGCCAGTGGGTGCTGCCCCGGCCCCGCTCCCCCAGGGAGAAGTCAGCCTGAGCCCTTGGTCAGCATCTAGAAGGCTCCGCTTCTGCCTCACCCACCGGCGGTTACGCCAGGGGCTGGTCATGCAGCTTGTCCTGTTGGAGGAGGAATCTTGAGCATTTCTGGCCAGGGAGGCTGTGCGTGTTGAGAGGTGGACGGAGCGTGTGCTCCAAGTGTGAGCGATGGGCCCCCCCCGAGGGACGCAGAGGGGAGGAAACCCTCGCTTTCCACACCCCGCGCCCTGGCCCCCATCACTGTTCACAACGCGTGCTCACCCTTCGTGCAGGCGGACAGAGGCCAGGCTTGTTTTGAGCAGGCCCCGTGCCCATTCCCCGCTCCTGCCTCGGTGCGTGTCCAGGGCGGTGCCCGTGCGGGGCTGCCCGTCCAGGCTGCTGGAGACACCGGGGCGAGGGACCCTTAGTCTTTCGACATTTCAGAGCACACAGGAGAATGTGAGAGGTGGGGGAAGGGCGGTCGGAAGGTTTGGTGCCCAGGGACCAGAGGAAGGAGGGTGGGCTGCTCCTGCCAGGAGGACCCTGAGGGCCGACGGGGCGGACACGCTGGCAGTGGAAGCCTCAGCTGCCAGGAGAGGGGCCAGAGAGGCCATGGGATGTGCCAGACCTGAGTGGCCAGCACGGCCTGTGCTCATGTCCTGGAGGTGGTCAAGAGTGCCCCCATCCACGGGGGCCAGCAGCAGCCAGCAGGGGGTGACGGCGCCTGGGACCCGTGTCCTGGGAGAAGGGGGAAGATTGTCCACCCTGGTGCTCTCCCCCAAGGGCTTGTTGAGAGCCGCGAGGAGCTCGGATCTTGGCACCGCCGGTCCCCAGCCCTCCGCGGCTCTTTCCTGACGCTCGGGTCCTCCGTCTGGGGGGCGGGCGTGTCCGCAGGCAGCACCTGAGTCAGAAAAAGCTCAGAAGTCACTGTCACTTGGGACTGTCCAGTAGCCCCTGTGTCCCCAAAGTGACTCCCCACCATGACTGCCCACCCCGGGGCTGGCTCAGCGGCACCCGATTTTGACAGGAGTGGCCTGCACGCAGGCCGGGCTCTGCCTGCAGAACATAGTGGGGAGACCCAGTGGGGCTGCAGCCCTGAATCGGTGCGTCCTCTCCTCGCAGGGACGGCGCTCCCTGCCATGGGGCCCCTCACCTGTGCCTGTCTATGGGGGGAGGATGCCGACTGACCCCCCAGCACCCTTGGGTGCCCCTGATCTCTGCCACAGGGGCCCCACCGGGCTGCATCGTCCCCCGGAGGGCTCCTGTCTCGTAGGCTGGGAGGGGTGGGTCCCCTGGGACGTGTGGAAATCAGCAGGGGGGCCTTGGGACGGTGCTCCCCCACGCTCCTCCCTCCCGCATCCTCGCAGCCTCCTTCCCGCTGACTTGTCGCTCACCCCGACAGACCTCGCTCTCTCAGGACCACGACGCCGCCCTGATGCTGGACTACGCGGCCTCCATGGATGGCCCCCCTCAGGAGGACCCCCCCTCCCATCAGGGGGTGGTGGCAGCCCCCGCCCGGCTTGAGGAAGAGGCCCTGCTGGCCCTGGAGACCCAGGGGGACGACTTGGACCCCTGGGACCTGGAGAAGGAGCCCCAGGCCATGGGGGCGTGGGGTGGCCAGGCCCCGCTGGACCCCGACGGGGACGAGCTGTCGGCGAGCTCCGTGAGCATCTCAGAGCCGGGCGCTGCCAGGAAGCATAAAGGTACCGGCCCCACCCCCGGCTGGCCGCCCCTGCGGGAGGCTGCCCAGTGTCCCAGCTGAGCTCCAGGCTCCCTGTGTGCTCTTCCCGCCCGCTCGTTGCGCTCCCGCCCGTCTCCCCTGACCGCTCTCTGCTGGACGTGGGAGCCCATTTAGGGCTGGGGGGGCAGGCTCAGAACCCTTGCAGGTGGGAGTGATGAGTCTCTGCCTTGGGGGGTCGGCCAGTGCTCAGGCCCAGGGGTGCCCTCTGTCTGGGCACCCCCTCCCGGCAGAGCACAGTAGGCAGAGGACTGGGCTCCGTGGCCGCAGAGACTGGCGCTTCCGCGCGCCTCCAGCCGAACCGCACCAGACCTCAGCACTTGACCCTGATCAGGCCGTTAGGTCCAAGAGAGAAGCGCCCTAGGAAAGCCCGCTGGTTGCCGCACTGTGCGGGGAGGGGGTGTGCGGTATCCATGAGCGCCGCGCCCTATTTTCCGTCGGCCCTAAACCTGCTCTGGACATGGGCCCCTCCCTCTGGGCGGACGCGATGGTGAGCCCCGCGCACCTGCTGAGGGAGGGCGTCCAGGGCCTGAGTCAGAGGTGAGGCCTCCAGACCTGCCTGTCTGGGCCCTCTCCCGGCCCCGGCCGGGCCAGAGCAGCTGGGGCCCAGGCCCACCTCCGTGCCAGCTGCTCGCCCAGCCCCCCACCTGGGGCTCACCTTCCCCGCGAGTGTAGACCGCAGGCCCAGGCGGGTCCTGCTGAGCTGGTGGGCTGATGCTTCTCGGCTGCCATGTCCTCGGTGCCGTACACCGGCGGCTCCTAGCTGGGACAGCTGTGCCCAGGGGATGCTGGCCGCTTCTGGAGACGGTGGTGGTTACGGCTGAGAGTCACAGGTGCTGCCGGCAGCAGGCGGGTGGGCGCTGTCCACACCCTGCAGTGCCCAGGATGTCCCCAAACATGCCCCTGCACCCTCGGGCTCTGGCTGCAGCCCCTCCATCGTGTCTGCGTCCATCCTCCCCGTCCCCTGCTTTGCTTCTGGTCTCCCCATGACCCAGCCTCCTTGCCAGAGCTAAGGGGGGTGGAGTGGGGCAGGTTGAGAGTAGGAGACGGAGAGAGGGAGGAAGGGAGGGGCTGGTGGATGGTTGCCGGGGCCGTGAGGAGCTTGCCTGGGCCTCTCTGCCTGTGGCCTGTCTTGGGGGCCCCCCAAGGGTGACCTGGGCCCCGCACCAGCCTCTGCGGACTCTCTGGGTTCTCTTAAGAGGCTCCCCCTGGGTCATGGAAGCGCAGCTGCTCCATTTACCCCCCACAGCACCCCAACCTCCCAGCCCCTCCTGTGTCCGCTCTCAAATGCCAGGCCTCCCTGACCCCGAGTCCGGGCCGACTCTGCTCCCGGCCCTGCCAGAGGGCTCTTTTCCTGGAGTCCCCGTCTTGGCCGGGTCGTGGCATCCTGCTCCTTCCCCACCACCCGCCAGATGGATGACGCCCCTGAGAAAAGGCACTGGGGCTGAGGTGCAGGGCAGGCGTGATGGGGGTGCCCCGCGGGGCTCCCGTTGCACCCTGGGCTGGGATGTGGGAGGCAGTGGGGTGGCCCTGCCGCAGCCGGCACCCAGGCCCTGCATGACCCGGATGCTTAAGGGGACGCCCTTGGAAGTGGGTGGTTTTTTGTTACAAATTACGATTTAGAAAATTTTCAGACACGTTTTGAAGTGTGTCTTCCGCCCCGGGCCTGAGCCGGCGCTCAGCTCCTCGGTGAGGCGCTGCGGCTTCGCAGAGACTGTCTTGGCACTGCCCGGTTTTCATTTTCTACCAGGTTTTCAAGCCAGTGCCCTGGACGGCGGCCCTGTGTTTTCTGTCCATTTTAAACCAAAGCTTATGTTTCAGCGTGGGGGGCACCATGCCTCTGGGCCGGGTGGGCATGGGCTGCTCTGCCCTGCTGGGAGCTGGGGTGGGAGAGCGGGTGGGTGCAGCCCCGGTGCACAGCGTGAGTCCCTCTGCGTCTCCTGCTCCCCGATGTCCAGGTGCAGAGCCCCCAGCCCTGTTCCGGGGGGCCTCTGCTCCCAGGGACCTTGACCAGCGGGCGGCGCCCACCTACCCCATCACACAGGCTCCAAAGGCAGGTACCGCGGTGGTGGCGGCTTACCTGACGGCTTACCTGATGGTTTACCTGGCGGTTTACCTGACACGCCGCACCTTGCAGGGGTTTGGATGGGGCCAGGAAAGGACCATGTGGCCCTGAAGGGCAACGTGTGGGGCCTGCTGAGGAGACCAAAGCCTCTCACAGTCATCCTCTCCCTCCTGCCACCCCCTCCCCGGGTGGTCTGAAAGGCCCTGCGTGTCTGAGCGTGGAGGTAAACAACGTCCTCGTGAGTCTTCGTAACAGGCTGTGAGGTTGTTGCCCAGGAGAAGATGGAGTGTTTTCAGCAGCTCGGCCCATTCCTGGCTGGCACGGGCACCTCAGGGCCTGCTGTCTGAGCTGGGGGGCGGGTGGGCACGGAAGCCCATCCTTCACGCTGGGCTGGCCGGCGCCCCGTGGAGCCCGGGGCCTGCTTGTCCCAGGGAGCCCCGCAGGTCCCACCCATCTAGGAGGCCCCCGCTATGTCCTTGGAGCGGACAGCGGTGGTGTTTGTGTGTGTCCAGCCTGTGTGCTGTTCGCCAGCTCCGTTGAGCATGGGAAGGATGAAGGCGCGGGGCCTCGGGGTCCCGCCGCCCGTGCCGGGGAGACCTTTCAGGAATCTGCGGTTGAAACACCATGGCCGCGGCCCCGACTCCCCAGCCCACATACTGCTCCCTGACCTCGCCTACGCGCGGCTGACCCCACAGTGGACACCTGGCCGCTGGGGCTGCCCCGGGTCCGCAGCTAGAGAGCCCCTGGGGCCCAGGGGCAAGTTCTGCTTCACGGTGCTAGAAAGCGGCGCCGGGTCTCAGACCCACCTGGCTGTCACCGCGTGCCACCTCCTGGGACTGGGCCGTCCACACCTTTCCTGACACAGGGGTGGCTGGGCCGAGGGGACGTGGGGCCCAGGGGGAGACAGGCCCTCCGCCTGGCGTGGTTCGAGCCCTGCCGGGCCGGGCACCAGCAACAGCGGGGCCTCCGCCTTCCCCATCGCGCCCCACCCGCGGACACCTGCGCACGCCGGGCTGGCACCCCGGGGAGCTGTGCTGACTCTCGCCAGTGCCCGTCCGACTCCCTCTTTTCTTTTTCCACTTGGGCGGGAGGCCCCGTGCGGCTGACCACGCTCTCTCTTGCAGGGGGCGTGCTGAGGAAGAGCGCCAAGCTGTTCTTCCGCCGGCGGCATCAGCAGAAAGACCCAGGCCTGAGCCAGTCCCACAACGACCTCGCCTTCCTGCAGCAGCCTGAGGGCGCCCGGAGGAGGGGCACCACCCTCGTCCGCATCCTCAACAGGAAGCTGCTCTCCAAGCACAGAGGGAAGAGCGCCCTGAATGGCACCCCCGTGGACCCCTGTGCGTAGGCCCGAGGCCACCCCCGCGGCTGCCCACCAGCCTGTGGCCAGAGCGCAGATGGCCTGCCTCATCCAGCCGGCTTTCCCCGGTGATGTCACCTCTGGAAGGGGAAAGAAATCTGAGACTACAGCCAGGGGGGTCCCCCAAAATGAACTGACAAAGCCCCGTTCACCACCAGAAGCTGGATGAGGCCACAGGGCTTGGCTGCTAGGTTAAGTGTGAAGGAGACTGACATTATGAACTGCTCGGCTGTGGGGGCAGCCTGGGGGCCTCGGCTGTACCCCCTCTGCCCTGGCCGGGATGGCTTGGGGCCCACGCCTGGACGCGTCACCCAGCGGGGCAGCACCTCGTGCATCCCTGTGAGGGGAGCGGAGGGTGTCCTCTCTCACCAGCTGCTCAGCGCCCAGGGCCCAGCTGCTCGGTGGCCTGCCCCCTCGGGGCGGTGGCTGGCGGGGTGCTGTCCAGGAGCAAGCGTTGCCGGAGGGAGCACTCTTCAAATGTAGGAGGCGTTTGCCTTGATATTAGCCATATAACTTGAAGAATTATGCAAACACTACATGTATCCTATGCAGGTGATGCCCAGCACTTTCTGAGTTTACCTTGAGCCTACTTGCAGCGGGAGAAATAGAAATTCCGGTGCGGCCCCCACCTTCTCCCTGTCGCGGCCCGGGAGCGGGGGGCCCTCTCCTGCACAAGGTCGAGCAGCTGGTGCCCGGCCCTGGGGTGGCTCCGTGCCCGTGGCTTTTCTCCAGTCCAAGGTCGGTTTGCCCCAAAGTGCCAATTACTGAGACAAGCACTTTCAGGGCAGAAGAGGACGTTATTCTGTGTCTCAGGTGTCCGTGGGGATGGAGGCCTCGAGACCAGTGGTTCACACGTGCATCCAGTTCCGCCCAGCCGCCTGCCCGTCCTTGCGGCCCCTGGAGCAGTGCTCGCCGACCCGCCTGCCTGGTTCCAGGGGAGGAGGCCGGGAGCCCGACTGTGGAGTCCCCTGGGCCTCTCCAAGCCCCGCGGCCTCCTGCCGGCCCCCACCGCACTCCTCGCGCGTTGGCCGCCTGCCGCCCTCCACGGGGGGCAGCCTGGGAGGTGTGCCTGGCACGCGGCGTCGCGTCCGGGAGAAGCGTTTGGATAGTTAAGAAGATTCATTTTCCTCCGCTAAGATTTGAAAGGCCCTGAAGAGAATTCGACTTTGTGGCAGAAGTGAAGTGGGGTGAGCCCCCCAACAAGCTCTCTGTTCATCTTTAGCAAACATGTGGTTCGGGGGGCACAGCCATGATGAGCCAAAAAGAGCCTTTATGAAAACCAAAATTATGGCGCTTTTTCTTTTTTCTTTTTTTTTTGAGGGGGAGATTGGAAAACTGCATTGAGCATTTAGCTTTTCAATCCACGTGAAAAAATTTGCAAGTGTCTCAGGAATGATCCAGTGATTTAAAAATGACTTTTCCACCAGACACTGTTTTTCAAGATTGTATTTCCACGTTAACCACCACAAACTCGCACCTGACTGCAAGACGACGTCGCGTCAGGATCCCCTGCTGGGGGATGGCCGCGTCTTTCCGCATGGAGGGTGGCTCTGCGCAGCCTGAGACGTCAGAAATTAATTCTAGAGGGTTGTGGCAGAATTTCAGGTGGCGTCAGACGTTTCCAGCCTGTTTGACTCAGTTTTGCTTGGTTTGATTTTGAAATTCAGACGGACTCTGTCAGGCGCGAGGCTGGCAGAGCTGCCAGGCGTTTCTCACCGGAGGAGCAAAGGCAGCTTCAGCCGCCCCAGGCCGCGCGCGAGCTGGCATCCGCTCACCGCATCTCACACCCCAGCCTCCTGGGGACCCACCACACCCTCCGGACCCAGGGAGGTGGAGGGGGGCCGCGCGTGTCCTGCGCGTGTGTGTGCGACGCCAGCCTGCTCCCCAGACGCCCCAGCCCCTCGTCCCTGACTCTTGTCTGGGAAGCCGCCTCGGCCACCCGGGCAGCTCCGGAGACCCTCTTGGGGCAGTGGGACTTTGATGAGAAGTGAAGCCACTTTGGGCAAAGGCCGCCATGCCCAGCCCCTCTCCGGCAGCTGCCCCGGCTGTGGGGCCCGCGGGGCTGCGTGAAGGCGGCACCCCCAAGCTGCACATCGTGGCAGACGCAGCGCGGACCCAACTCAGCCGGAGCCGCTGTGCCCTTGCCTTGCCCCACGCGCGGCCCCGGCTCCCGGTGGCGACGCCGTGGCAGAGGGTCTCCGCGGCAGAGGGTCTCTGCGGGACGATCCCCGTGAGCACCAACGTGCATCTGGGCCAGGTGCTCACGTGGGCTTTCAGCACGCTTCCTCAGAGATCCGCCCTTGATCTTCCTGGAGGAGGAAACGGAGCTTTAAGTGTGAGTGTGTGCATGTGTGCGCGTGTGTGGCGCGTGTGTGCGTGTGCACGCGTGTGCGTGTTGCGATGCAGCAATAACAAAGTGGCCCCTCTCCCCGTCCGGCTGAAAACCAGCAGCGAGGAAGACGGCTCCGACGCCACTTTATCAAAGGCTCGAGTTTAAGTGCAAAGCCCGCCCGCCGCCTGCAGATGGCTGCCTGCTCAGTCCCCGCCGACCTCGCGTGATGGCACCGGCCACTTCCAGGGAGAAAGTCGCTCATCTCCTTGCGCAGGAAGGGGAAGGTCCGTTGCGTAGCTGCCCCCGCACGCGGGGTTTTCTGGGCCGCAGCCTCACAGCGCAGGTGGCGGACGCTGGGAGTGGACATTGACCTCCCGCCGGTGGAAATGGGGCCCGGCCCGGCGTGGCCCTAATGCCGGCCCCTCTGCACGCCCCACGCTTGCCGCGACAAGGCTCCCAAAGCGGAGACTCGGGCCGGCCGTGCAGCCCTCCGCGCTCGGGCCCCTCACCCTCCACGCCTGGGTCACCGGGAGGCCGGGATGTGCCACTGACAATTCAGGAAGGTTTGGGATTTTCTTGCCCCGGGTCACATCAAAGCTACCTTTTTAAAAAAATGTTTTCTTTGTCTGGGGAAGGGTTGGGGGTTGGGGGCAAGCGTGGTGCGTTTCCATGACGACGATTGTATTCCTCCTAGCACTTTAACACGGGGAGAGCCCTGCCCGCCCCCCCAGCGGAGCTCACCTGGCGGGAGCCCTGCTTGAACGGTCTTTGAAGAAATAAACACTTGACGTGGAACACTAAATGCCGAGTTCTTCTTGCCCAGTCCCCAGCGGTCCCCAAAGTCAGCGTCCGCTGAGCGTCTGGCCAGGGGCCTCCGCGGTCACCGTATGTGACCATCGCGGATGCATCAAGTGGGCTGGCTGTCACCTCTGCTTCCTCCCGCTTGCACCTGACGGTCTTACAGGCTTTTATTTTCACGTTTAGCCAACAGTGGGGAAGGGGGGGGTGGGGAGGGTGGGGGGTGGGGGGCTGGGGTTCTCAAAATATTCAAAATAGATCTGCCATAGGAGCCAGAGACTGACCCCCTCCTGGGGGGGGGGTACCTGCACCCCTGTGCTCATGGCAGCCGTTTACAGCAGACAGGCTGTGGACACAGACGGGCAGATCCAGACGAGCTGTCTGCACACGAAGGAACCCCACTGGGCTCCAGCGAGAGGGCCCTGTCTTACGCGAGCTCTAGGCCACGCAGCACCCCTTGGCCCGCCGCTGAATCATTCGCTGGAAAGTCCCCTGACTTTCTATGTCCCGGTGACCGGCGGGTACTTCCGCTCAGGGTCTGCCCAGCCTGGGCCCCCAGCGCTGGCACTGGGTAGCCGAGTGACCCACTCAATCACCAGGGACCTTCTGAGGAGGCCTGTCCCCTTGGGCGTAAAACATTTCTCCATCAGTCCCCACTGCCAGTGCCCACCCCAAGTAGGGCCCCAGAGGGCGCAGATTGTACCCCGCTGTAGCCAGGGTCAGTCCAGAGGGATGGCATCCGCGTCTTGGCGCTGGCTGCGGCTGGGGTGGGGCGTCGGGGTCTGGGTCAGGGCACCGAGATGCGTCCCGAGCACACGTGTCCTACGGGGACTCCACGCCCAGGGAACCAGTACATTCACCGGGAAATGACCAGACCCCGACCCGGCCCTCCCCACCCCCACCCCGCCCCTCCACCCGCCCGCCAGACACGGTTGAAGGCTCTTCGGGTTCTGGAGCGGTGGCTTGGGGGCCCAGGCTGACCCACAGCTTTGAGTTTCAGGAGTGGTCTGGCTCAGAGAGCCCCGGTTGCTAGAGGGTTCAGACCCAATCCTCAGGACACGCCAGGGTGTGACGGGAGTCCCATCCGCACCGAGGGGGCGCGGGCTGAGTGGGACTCCGCCTCCTGCGCGGCCTGAGGTCCACTTCCTGCCAGCCGTAGGAGGCAGGATGGACTCGCTGGCAGGCCTGACCCACCAACTGCCCTGACTGACTGCCTGCCGGTCAGCTCCAGGTGGACTCTGCGTTCTTGCAGATGCTGCCCACGCCGCCCAGGTTAATCCACGCCAGCTGCCTGCAAGCCTGTCCCCGACACATGCTTCTGTCCAGTCTCACAGCTCGACCGGACTCCATGCCACCTTCTCTGCAAAGTGGCCCCTGCGGCTGACCACGGACACACCATTGGCACCCTGCAGCCCCCCACTCGGGAGATGCTGCCCCACATCACCCTGCACCTGCTCCCCAGTGAGAACAGAGGGGCCTGCGCCCCTGGGCCTAGGCAGCACTCGCTAGGCAGAGCCAGGACAGCCCTCAGCTGACCGCCTCGTGTCAGCACACCCAGGTTCGCTCATGTTGCTCCCACACCTCACCGGGGGCCTGAAGGGGCAGAGGCACCCGTGACAGAACGTGCTCAGCCAGCTGGGGCTTGTCTATGTCAGGAGACGCTTAGATAAATGAGGCGGCTGCTCAGTGGCTGGAGCCAAGATGGACGTCCAGTGCCGAGTCCTCCCTGGCAAGAAAGCGGCCAGGCCCATCCGCTTCCATGGCGACCTCGCAGCATCAGCCTCCACACAGGGCCCCGGCCTGCCCGCCCCTGTGCTGCGTCCACTGCGCACTGCTGAGCGTCCTGCCCGCGGCGGGCTTGCTGGGCACTGGCCACCTCATGCCGGGAACAGCTAACGCTAGCCCAGCCCTTGCTACCCCCAGCAGCTTGATCACAGCGCTTTGCGTACAGACTCCTGGACTCGCTGAAATAACCCCGGATGACGAGCTATTTCAGTTTTACGGATTAGCGACAGGCGGCACGGAGAAGTTACAGAGCTCGCCGGCGGTCACACGCTAAGCGGCGGGCCTGGACTCAGCCCGGGCTGCGTGGCTGGAGGACTCAGGCTCGTGGCTCTGCCTCTGCTTCCTTCTGCCGTGAGCAGAGGCCGGACTCGGGGCCTCTGACGGATGGTCTGTCCTGAAGCTTCTCACTCCCCGCTTTGCGTGGAGTTGCGTTATTTTCTCATCAGAGGCCTCTGGGAGGTGGGGGCTCAGGGAAGGAGCCCCAGCACTCAGCCCCCTTAGGCCAAGCTGAGGCGCGCTCCCCCGGCTGAGCAGCTACTCACGGTGCAGCTGGGCCCTGCTGCCGGCTTCATCCGCGCGGGATGGCTGGCCCGGGCCTGGTGCTAACACACTGGTGGTTCTCCCGGGTAGCAACAAATGGCAGAGGGGCCAGGCGGCTCCCTCACAGGAAAGGAGCAGGTTTGTCTCTTCAAAACACCGCGACTGAACTTTCAGGAACTCGCTGATGGAACAGGTAAATGCGAGCTCAGTGCAGCTTGGTTTTTGCTTTAATTGCAGTGGAATGGCCTCTCTCTTAGGTTTACCGCCATTGTCTTTTCTGTGACCTTTAAGACTGTTCATTTTTCTGGCCTCCCTGGTGGCGCAGGGGTTAAAGACACAGCTCTATGGAGCTATCAGCAGCCAGTGCATCACCAGCTCGATCCCGGCCAGGGAGCTACCCACAGGGCCCAGCAGACCCCTCCTGACTCCCCCGCTGCTCCCCTCAGCAGTGTGCTTCAGTCCGTCCCATTCTGTCCCCCGCTCTGTCTCTGGGGAGTCCTCTCACCCCCCACCCCTTTACACCCTCGCCCCGTACCTCTGGCCTGCACCCCAGTTCTTGTATGCATAAATTAATCTTTAAAAAATCTTTTTATTGCTATTTACTTTTCTTTATTAAGCATTTTACACATATGAGGGGCAGGGCTCTCTGATAATTTCAAATCCCCCTGTGACTCTTTTGACTTTACTATTTATAAATATTATATAAATAATGAACATAAATGTTATATAATTATAATTTATTACATACATATTATATACATAATATTTATTTATGAATATAAACGTTGTATTTATTAAAGGCGGTTTTGCCAGGCAGAGGTGCACAGGACAGCTGACCGCCGGGCCCCAGAGACCGGGTCTGGGTGACAGACCCTCTGTCCCTGCGCTTGTCTGTGACCCCACGTGCCTTCGGTGGAGCAGGTGGAGGCTGCGCCTGCCCGGGTGCCGCGGGGCGCCAGGGAGCTGTCTGGCCTCCCATCTGCCTGGGCCAGGGCGCCTGCCCGCGACTCCCCACCGAGCAGGGTGTCCGAGGGGTTCGGTGTGATTTCAGGGGCCCGCCCGCCTGATTCAAATCCTCGCACTGGCCGCTGCCCGGCGCGCTGCCCACCAGGTGCCCGGGCCCGTGGGGGCCACGCCAGTGTTTGGCCTAATTCAGCAATAATTCTGATCAGGCAGCAAATGGCTGACCCGGTTTGAAGGAAAATGCAGTTCCCTTCCCGGGCGCCCCCAAGTAAGGTTCCGAGCTGCCGGCACGAAAAAGACAGAGGCCGGGAGCCGCCCGGGGCCATCGCCAGAGGCCGCGCCCCCCCCCCCCCCGTGCCCGCTCGGGCCCGGGAAGCGGCAACCGGGGGCCTCCGCCTGAGGACGGGGCGCACCCCCGCGCCCCCTCTGCCACGACCGCGCCCCTGCGCCCCGCCCGCCCGCCGCCGCCGCTTCCCACTCCCGCTCCGCGCCGGTGCCGCGGCCGCGCCGTCCAGGCCGCCGCCCGCGGACTACAACTCCCACAATGCCCCGCGGCCGCCCCGCGGCTTCCGGTGCTGCGCAGTTTCCGGAGCGGATCGCAACCCGGAGTCCGGATCCGAGCCCGCCCGGCGCATTCCACAGGCAGGTAAAGCCCGGGGCGCCGCGCCGCCCCCCGCCCGCCCGCGCGCCCCGCCCGCGCCGCCGCCGCCCGCGCCCGCGCCCGCCGCCCGCCGCCCGCGCCGCCGCCCGCGCCCGTCCGCCCGCTGGTCCGGCCGCCATGCCGCCGGTTCTTTGTTCCGTCGCGGCCGGGCTCGGGGCGATCGGAGCCAAAACCCGGCTGGATTTCCGGAGCCGCTCCGGGATCGCCCCGCGCGCCCGCCGCCCGCCCGCCCGCCCGCCCGCGCGCCCCGCCCCGGCCCCCCGCGCCCCGCGCCCCGCGCCCCCGCCCCCGCCCCGGCCCCCGCCCGAGCGCCCCGAGCGCCCCGAGCGCCCCGCCAGGTCGCCGGCCCGCCTGGGCCCGGCCCGGCCCGGCCCTGGGTCCCCGCCCCGCGGCCAGGACGGCCGGGCCGGGCGGGGGCGCCCCCCGGGGCCGGGGGCGGTGGGAGCCCGGGCGGGTGCGCGCCCGCGGGGGCCGGGGCGCGGGGGCGCGAGCGTGGCCGGCCGGGCGCCTCCCCGGAGCGGGGCGCCCAGAACCCGGAGAACCGCCCCCCCCCCCCCCCGCTGAAAGGGCAGGAGCCAGCGGGGCCGGGGGGGCTGCACCCGCCAGCGCGGGCCCAGCGGCGCCCCCGGCATCCGGCCCCGGAGGGGGGCGCGGCGGGCCCCCACCCCCCACCCCCCGTCCCGGGCGCAGGTGAGGCCGGCGGCCCGCGGTGGAGCCGGGGCAGCCCCGCCCTCGGCGCCCGCACCCCGACCCCCGCGCCCGCACCCCGACCCCCGCGCCCGCCCGCCCGCCCTGCCCGGTGCCCGCCGAGCCGCGCCCGCCCGCGGAGCAGAGCCCGGGCTGGCCGCGCGGACGCCGGCTGGACAGCAGGCCCGGGGCGCGGGGGACGGGCTCGCGCCAGCAGGTGGACGCGGTCGCCGGCGCTGAGGCCGCGGAGCCCGGGGCTTGGCAGGAGGAAACAAAAGATTCTTTCCAGGCCCGCTCCCCGCCCCGCCCTGCCCTGCCCTGCCGGGCGCGCTCCCGAGGGCCGGTGCCCCGCCGGCTGCGCTTCCCGCGGGCCCTGCTCGGCGGCACCCACCTGCGGGCCAGCCCTGTCCCGAGCACCCTGCGCGGGGAAGGACTCTGCCCAGGCCGCCCCCCGGCCGGGGAGTAGGAAACTGCCCGGGCAGCGCCCCTTCCCCGGCTGGGCAGCGCCTTCCACCTCCTGCCTGTGCCGCCGGTGGGGGGCGCGGCGTCCAGTGCCCCTCACAGGCTGGCGAGGGCCACGGCCATCCCACCCCGCGCGGGCGGAGGCTGGGGCGTCGCGGCAGGGAATGGCAGGTGCACGGCGGGGGTGGCCAGGCCTCTGTGAGCACAGAAGGACCCCATGTGGCCGCGGGGCATGAGCAGAGGCTCCTCAGGGTTCCTCCTGAGCCCCAGGCAGGCGCCCCGAGGGGCTGCGGCCGGGGTGGGGGCAGATAGGCTCTGCCTCTGCGGAGAGGGCCGGTGCTGCCTCCCCGGGAGCCAGGCCTTCGAGAGCCCGCTTGGCATCAGTGGAAGCAGCGGGTGGAGGGAGTGTGGACAGGCATGCTGAGGAGCCAGGCGCCCTGGCTCGTCCTGCGGGAGCGTGTGGCGGGTGCGGGAGGTGTGGCCACGAGGTGTGGCCACCGTGTGGGGTGGAGGTGGCCGCTGAAGGGAATCAGAACCCGTTAGCAGCGGCCCCAGCCTGGCCCTCCTGCGGGAGTGCCCACCGCCCCGTGTGTCCTCTTCAAACGCCTCCTCCCGAGGCCAAGGGACCCCACGCTGCCCAGACCTGGTGGGGGCGGTGCCCCTGGTGTGGAAGCCTCAGGGTCCCCACAGGTGTGTGCGTGTGACAGACCTTCGGCTTCGGGCAGGTGGGGGTGTCTTGGGGCTGAAGATGGGGCCCCTTGGCACTTACGGGGTGTGGCTGAGTGGCCCCTCAAAGCTCTGCAGTCCTCTCTGTAGCCTCGAGGTGTCCCGAGCCCACGTAAAATGATGGGGCCTGACGGGGGCTCCCCGCGGGGCCTGACTTATCCCAGCCCCTTCAGAAGAGGTGAGCTGTTGACGAGTCAGTCTGCACAAGAGCCAGACAGGCCGCGCCTTCCCGTCATCAGAGTGAGGGGGCCTCCCGGGCAGCCCCCAGATGTGGCTCAGGGCCCTTGGCACAGGCTGTCCCGGACGCACCTTGAAGGTCAGGACTGAGCCCCCTTCCCGTGGCTGTTGTGGGGCAGTGAGGAGGGGTCGCGAGCCGTCAGCCTGAGGGTCACCTGTGCGGCGACGGGGCAGGAGGTCAGAGGGGAGGAGGTCCCTGACATGGGAAGACCCACCTCCGGGTGCCCGGGGCTGGGGTGTCCACAACCCCGCACCCCAGCAGGCAGGCATGAGCGCGAAGGCAGCTGTACCTAACGGTCAGCCAGAACCGCGGCCCTGCAGGGCCAGCGCGGGCGCTGCTACGGGGCCATGGCGATGGGGCGGAGGCTCTGGGAGGGGGCATCAGGGGCCGGGGCCCAGGGTTGGGCCGGCCTGTGGGCTCATGGGGGACCCCGCCTGGTCACTGCACGGCTTGGGGGTGATGGAACGTAGCAGGGGTGAGGACGGGCCCCGTGGGCTGCCCAGGGTTTGCAGACGAGGCTGCCGCAGGCCGGTGCCAGGCGGGGGCTGGCAGTGTTCACAGGGGTCTGCCCAGGGGGCTGCCCGGCCCGGCCGAACTGCCTGCCACGGCTCTCCTTGTCGCGCTCCCCACTGCAGTTTCCCTTCACACCCCTGTGTGCTCGGGGGAAATACTTCTCTTGCCGAAAAATGGATTCCCCCAACCCCTTGGCCAGGGTGCCCCGCCGAGCGCCCGGGGGCTGGTCTGATTCCGGGGCAGAGGTGCAGAGCACATGCCTCGCACCCAAGACCTACTGGAGAAACTAATTTTTATGTTAAATACATGTTGAAGTGGAAATATTTTCAATATATCGTGTTAAATAAAACGTCACCCAAGTTCTCTGTGTGAATCTGCACGACTTCCCGCGGAGACCAGGTGGCGCGCGAGCCCGCGTGGAGAAGCCGGGGGACTCGGCCAGCTGAGATGGGCCCGGCCGCCCGGTCCAGGCTGTGCCACTGGGCCCCGCCGGGTGGTGGGGGCGGGGCGGACACGGTGGGACCCGAGGAACCCAGGAGTGGCCCCGGTAAGTGTGGCGGCCGCTGTGGCCCGAGCCCCAAGGCCGTGCAGGTGCTGGTGGGCCTGGTCGCCCGAGGCGGAGATGAACTGGGACCCCAGCCTCCGGGCTTCCCCGACGGGCCCCTCGAGCGGCATAACCGCTGGGGCTGAAATGTGGGGCAGGGGCGGCCCCAAGCCACAGGAGGAATGTGAATGTCCAGGGTTGGCACCAGGCCTCGGCGGCATGGTCCATAAAAGGGCGAGTCAGCAGGCTGGATGGTACACCCTGGCTCTGCAGCGCGGAGCGGGGCGCAGGCAGGAGACGCTGGTGGAGCAGCAGCTGACACAGGACCCAGAGAGCCAAGGAGCTTGCAGCCACCGTGGGAGGCAGCTGGGCCCCTGGAGGGGGCGGAAGGACGTGTCCCTGAGGGGCCGTACAGGTGGCGGTGACCCAGGAGCTGCGTCCGGCCTTGTTCCGCGCCTCGGGGCGCAGGGTTGAGGACGACCCCGTCCCTGTCCGTCTGCGGGAGTGGCCGGAACAAGACAGCACCAGGGCTGGGGGCTGGGGCTGCACCCTCGGGCCCCGCCAGGGCGGCAGCTGTCTTACTGGCCCCGTCGTGGGGCCTGAGGCGTCTGTCCAGAGAGGACAGCTGTGGATGACCGCTGGCCGAAGCTTATTGGTGATAGCCCAGACGGGGAAGCCTGGGGGGCCGGTGAGCCAGCCGCGTGCCTCCCTCGGCCTCCCCCCCCAGGCCGCCCAGAAATGGCGGCTTCTAGAAATGACCAAGTTGTCAAGGTGGAGAACAGACGTGCGGCTGCCGGTGGGGCTGTCAGTGGGGTGCAGAGGGGGTCTTCTTGGGGCTCCGGCCCGGAACCCACCTGTGATGTGGGCTTGTCTGCGCGCACACGCCCGGGCTCAGCCCTGCGCTGGCTGGTTACCTTGGGGTTTCGCAAGGTAATGCTTACCTGGGGCGGTCACCTTGGGGTTTCAGTGTGACTCCACGGTTCCCCAAGCCGCCCCCAGGGAGCCGAGCGGAGGACAGGCCGGGCCTCTCTGCGCTATTTTGAAACTTCCTGCGACTCTATAATTATTTCAAATCAACGACAACGGCCAGAGACGGCTGCACGTGAGGCTCACCTTCGGCCGCCCTGCTCGGCTCCCGCCTCCCCTCTCCATCCCGAGCGCAAACGAGCGCGTCTTCATCTCGCGCTCGCCCCCACAGCCTCCGGGAACACCTTTTTCTTCCATTTATTTTTAGCTGCCTGTTTTTTAAAGTTGTGGAGCTTTCGTTTGCCAGAGTTTCAGATCACGGAGTCCCAGCCTTTGCAGCCCACACGAGCCAGCGTCCCCTGCCACCTTGCGCCCAGCAGGGTGGCTGCTGCCCCGTAATGGAAAGCAGTCGGGGCTGCCGGGGATGTGGGGTTAGCACCCTGTGCCCAGTGCTGCTCACCCCAGCGCCAGTCCATCAACAGAGGAACAGATGGGCCATAGGGGCCGGCCGCGGGGTGGAATACTATTTGGTCATGAAAAGGAAGGCCAGTCTGATACCTGCTGGACATGCGCAGACACTCACAGATGGAGGGAGGGGCACTGGATCCTACCAGATGCCCCCAGGGCCTAGGCAGGGTCCTGGGCGTATGCCCCAGTCCTTGTCTGTTTATCCTCCAGGTTTGGTGGGAGGTGGGCACTGGGCACTCCCATGTGAGCAGGCGCCATACTCGATGCAGCTGAGCCTGACCAGACACGCGCCTCATGCACAGATAATCAGAAACCAGTCCACGGCCCCGCGAGGGTGACTGCACGGACGCCTGGCCCTCGCATGGGTGACCGCGCAGTTGCACGGTTCCCCACTGATGGCCAGAGCTCGCCCCTGACGCCAGGTGCGTGAACACACAGGTGCCTGCGCCCCAGGTACGGGCACCGTGCCACAGCTCAGCCCGCTGATCCGCCGTCGTCATCGGTCCTTGCGCTGTTTCCGCACCATGGCTGCTGTGGCGGGGGCGGCAGTGAACACACCCCTACGTGGGCTTCATCAGAAACTCGCCCACAGCCCTCGTCCGTGCTCGTCCACAGCAGTGGCCGCTGCCCGCCTCCTCCTCCCCCGCTGACGGGCTGGGCTTCGGGCGTGCGCGTGCCGGCCTGCCCTGCGGCTCCCTCTGCCCCTTCATCGCTCTCACGCGTCCTCTGATTGGAGTGTGTGCACGTGTCCTGCTGAGGCTTGGGGGTTCTTTGCAGGCATAAGGGAACGTGGGGTCCAAACTGTCTTCCCGTCTCTAGCTTGTCTTTTCATCCCTCTAACAGCATCTTTTACAGAGCGAAACTTTTAAATTTTGGTAGTTCAGCTAATCGATTTTCCTGTTAGAGCGGGTGCTTTGGGTGGACGCTTCTCAAGGCCTTTCTAGAGTGTTCTGTCTCGTCTTGAACGCCCAGCCTTTGTCTTTCTCCCTCTGCCCTGCCTTCCCGCGCGTGCCTCCCTCGGCTGCCCCACCGCCTCTCCCGGGGGCTGAATGGTGGCCTCGGCGCGGCCGGACCTCCCCTTGACCTGGCCCCGTCGGCGGGCACTGGGTTGCTCCCACCCCAGCAGCAGTGACGCGGGCAGTGAGGGGGTCACCGAGTGCTGCGTGGATGGTTTCAAGTTCCTGGCACAGAGGCCCCCGGCGCGCTGCGGGGCCCCGCACTCAGGGGTTAGCAGCAGTTCTCAGATGAGCCGACCTGGCCGTGCGGGAGCCAGGGAGGCCAGGGAGCCAGCCAGGTCTGGGGAGGGGCCTGGGAATGTGCTTTTCTGGGGAGGGCCGGGGCTGCTGTGGCGGTGCAGGGACCGCACTCTGAGAAGCGCTGGTGTCAGGGAAGCTCCCCAAGGACCGGTGACTAAGGGGGCCATGCCTCACACCTCTGGTCTTTTTTGGGTTATTTCCCCTGAACAGTGGTCTCCGCAGGCTCTCGCGTGGGGTCGTGCGCGTGCCGAGTCGCGTTCCCTTCTCCAGGGGACACTGCGGGTGGACGGGGCTGGCCGCGAGAGCCACACTTCAGCCTGTCCCGTCTGCGTCCTGCCCGCCGCCCTGGCGCTGGCCCTGCTCCCTGAGCTCAAGGGGACGCTCAGGCCCGCGTTGCAGGGACACTGCCGGCCGGGAGCGTCAGCGGCCAGACTCGGGCGGAGGCGGCCGTGGATGACCGTGCAGGGGAGAGACCCCGGAGGCGCTTGGGAGGAGGTCTGAAGGCCCAGCGGCTCCCGCCCCTCCTCACCTCCTGGGTCGCTTCTAAAGCATCTCGGGCCTCCTGCCTGCCCGCGCACGCCGGCCGCTCTCCGGGGCACGCGGCCGCTGGAATGGTCCCTGTGGCCAACACAGGCTCTCGGGCTCCGGAACCTTGGTCCTGCTGGGCCCGCAAAGGCCGTTCCCCGGAAAGGAGACTGTGCCGGGGTGGGCGGCGGAGGCCTGGGTCACGCACCGCCATAGTCAGGGCCGCGTCAGAAGCCCCATCTCGCAGGTTCCCGCGGTCATTCCCTCTGCCACAGAGAGGTCTTTGGGGCCGTGGGCTCTCAAAAGCGTGTGGGGGGCAGATCTGAGCCCTCACCTGGCCTGGCCGGGCCTGCCCTCTGCTGAAGCTGGCCGGGTAGGGCGTGTGGACCAAGCTGGGCCCGGGCCAGGCGCGGTCCCCGAGCAGGGCGAGCTGTGCACACTGGAGGGTGGGAAGCGAGGGGGGGCGGGGGGGGGCGGAGGAGGGATCGTTCTGTGGCCCCTGTGGGAGTGTCTCACTTGTGTGCCCCCGAGCCTGCGGAAGTGGGCCTTCTAATTCCCATTTTATAGGTCAGGAAGTCACCAGCAGATCACCTCCAGATCACCCCCACATACGGGGCTGAGCCCCTCGCCCACTGGGGTGCTTCTTGAGGTGGTTCCGGGGAGGAGCAGCAAGTAGCAGATCTCCACGGGGCTCGGCGTGACCCAGGGGGGAGCAGGGGCAGCAGGAGGCGGCTGTGGCGGGGTTCCAGTCAAGGCGGGGAGGTGCGGCAACGAAAGGCTGTCCCTTCAGGGGCAGCGCTGTTCCAGGCCTGGACCCCGCCGACGGCCCCGTCCCTTGGCAGGGAAGGCTGCACACGGACGGGCTCAGCAGCTGTCGTCCCGAGGCCGTGGCCAGAGCCGCCCTCACCAGGCTGTCGCCCGCAGGTGTCACCATGGCCGAGGACGTCAGCGAGGAGATCATGTTCATCTGTGAGTGGCCCCGCCGCCCCGCGGGCTCCTGCTTCTCTCACACCCCAGCGCGGTCCGGGCATCACTGTAACTCACTGCACGGGTGTGCAGGGGCATGGTTGGGGCCCGCTCAGAGCCCAGCAGCGGCCCCTGGGCGGGCGGGCGGGGCTCAGGACGGTGTCGGGGCTGAGGATTTCTGGGCGCGGGGCCTTGACGAGCGGGTCCCTCGGGCAGCTTCTCATTTATTCTCGCTCCTGGTGGCTTGTTCTTGGCCACGGCCGAGGTGACTGCCCCGCCATGGAGCGGGGCCTCTCCCGGGTGGGGCGGGGCACCCCGTGTCTGCACCATGGTCACCCCGCCGGGCAGGCCTGCTTCCCGGGACCGTGAGCCCCACCCACACAGCTGCCTCTTGGCAGGGTGCGAGGACTGCGCCCAGTACCACGACTCAGAGTGTCCTGAGCTGGGCCCGGTGGTCATGGTCAAGGACTCCTTCGTGCTGAGCAGGGCCAGGTGAGTGAGCGCCTGGAGCGGTGGGCGGTCGGCCCTCGGGGGCTGCCGCCTGCCCCGACTCAGCCCAAGCAACCCTGGCCTGCGGGGCGTGGGGACTGAGCCTGTCTGTGTCCCCAGGTCGGGGCGAAGGCCCGGCGCCCAGGTCAGGCTCCCAGGACCAGGCTGTCTGCCTGGCACAGCCTGGGGGCGCAGCCCTGGGCTGTTTGTGCCATGGGCAGTGAAGGCCCTGCAGGCGGGCAGGGTGGGCTGGGGCAGGGAGTGTGCAGACCAAGCGAAGCTACAGGGCCTCTGGAAACCCCAGATCTGGGAGGAGGCCGGGGCTTGCCATCCACATTCCCTGTGGGGCCGTGCCGACCAGTGGGCAGAGCCCGGCTTCACAATCAGGTGCTGTTGTTGGAGCCTGGACGAGGCTTCCTCAGCAGCCGCATCTAGGTGGGGAGGTAGCGGCACGGCCCAGCAGCGCGGGCGAGGGCACGACCCTGGCCCCAGAGGGCGGTGTCGCTGCTTCCGGGAACCGCCAGCCCGTCCCAGCCAGCTTTTCTCGTGCGGCTTACCTTCTCGCGGCTGCCTCTGCCCACACAGGGCGCCGGGCACAGGAGCGGTGCCCTCTGGCTCCAGCTCACTCCTGGGGGGTCTCCAGGAAACGCCCCACACCACGTGCTGGGTGGCGAGAGCCAGCCTTAGGTTGTTCTAGCTCCCCTGCCCTCGAGTGCCACACTAGCCCGCGGGCGCTCAGGGCCTGCGGCTCTTCCAGGTCGTCCCTCCCGTCCAACCTGGAGATCAGGCGCCTGGAGGATGGGGCTGAGGGGGTGTTTGCCGTGACCCAGCTGGTCAAGCGCACGCAGTTCGGCCCGTTTGAGTCCAGGAGAGTCGCCAAGTGGGAGAAGGAGTCGGCGTTCCCCCTGAAGGTAAAGCGGGCCCTCCCCGCCCCAGAGACTGTTCTGTCAAATTCCAAGAGGACGTCTCCCTCGTTCCTTTTGTTCTATAACCTCAGTCAAAGTTGAGGTAGGAGTTTGTAATCTTCAGCTTTGCCACACACTGAGGAGTGGATCAGATGTCGCAGGAGTAAAGCAGGAGAGCCGCCTCTGCCTCTCCCTCCCCGGGGCGCCGGTGGCTGCAGGCTGGACAGGAGAGGGCACCACAGAGAGGGCACCCCAGGGCGGAGCCTGCAGGGCCTTGAGGAAGGCAGGGGTGTGGTTGGGACAGCCTGAGGTGCTGAAGGGGTCTGAGAGGAGATGGCTGGGATGGGGGCTGAGGGGGCAGGTGGTCCTAGGGCCCCCAGGGCCTGCCCCTCACCCCCAACCCACCCCGCTTGCCCTCAGGTGTTCCAGAAGGATGGGCACCCCGTGTGCTTCGACACCTCCAACGAGGACGACTGCAACTGGATGATGCTGGTGCGGCCGGCGCTGGCGCCCGAGCAGCAGAACCTGACGGCCTACCAGCACGGCAGCGACGTGTACTTCACCACCTCGCGGGACATCCCGCCGGGCTCCGAGCTGCGCGTGTGGTATGCAGCCTTCTACGCCAAGAAGATGGACAAGCCCATGCTGAAGCAGGCCTGCCCTGGGGGCCACGGTAGGCCAGGCAGGGCCAGGCTGCAGGGGAGGGGCGGGGGGTGCATGGGGGCCAACTGGCTGGTGCAGGGCCTGGACCCCCGGCTGGTCCTGTCCTCCTGCTGGCGGAATCGGAGGCTGCCAGGCTGGGGTGCAGCTCTACATCCCCGCGGGACGGGGGTGCCCAGACACACCAGGAGGCTTCCCAGCTCTGCCCGTGCCCACCTGGCCCTCTCGGGTCTGAGGTTGTCCTGGTTTTGTTATAGGGCAGCCCCGATATTGAAGGGGTTCCTGGCTGTGGGTCCTCACCCGCGTGCTTACAAGGGACTTATGAATACTCCACGGCAGGCACACACAGAAGGTTCATAAAAGGTTTATTTACAAGGGAAAAGGAAAGAAGGAAAATGGACAACTCAGGGAGAAAATAGGGAAAGAAAGTCTTTCATGCGTCCTACCCGATCCGCCGACCCGGAAACCCAAAGTCACTCTCCGAGCTGGCCTGACGAGCTGGCCTGACGAGCGAGCTGGCCTGACGAGCTGTTGGGGAGCCAAAATGGGGACCCCCCAAAGCCCACGTGTCTGCCTTTATACCAACCTGGCTGCTTCACCCCAGCCTCAGGTCCCAGCCACCTTCCCTTGGGTGGGGATGGGATGTGGAGTTCCCAGTGTCTTTGGCTTTGGCCTGGGGTGGGGTGGAGTCCACAAAGCCTGCATGGAATGAGCTTTAGGACAGCCTTTTCCCCCTAACAGTTTGGGGCAGAGAAAGTGGAGCACAGCGAGGCACGGGGACCCTCTCGTCCCAGTGAGGAGGCGAAGGGACCTCCCCCCGCGGCCCGTCACAGGGATGCGAGGGCCCCCCTCCACTGTGCAGGCAGTGAGGAGGGGGCTTTGAACCTGTACCAGCCCAGTGCTTTTGCCACTTAGCAGCAGCCCCTCCTGGGTTTGGGGGTGTGCGTGAGCATCCCTTGCAGAAGCAAATCCGACTGGTGTCTCATGGCGCACCGGCCCCGGGTGAAGGGGCCTGTTGAAGTTGGGTCTCCTGCCCACCGAGGGTCTCTGCAGCGCAGAGACCATGGGAGACCAGGGGCCGTGCTGCTGCCCTGCGTGACCCTCCAGAGCAGGGCCTCTCGCCGACTGCAGGGCTCTGCCCAAGCCCCTGCTCGCCTGGGCACAGGGGACACAGAGGCTGCAGGGACAGGGTCTGAGCAGCTGGAGGGCCCGGCTGTCCTGGAGCTCCAGGTGGAGGCCCTGTGAGCTGCTCTCGGTGGGCCTCCTGGTGCGCCCTGGGGGTGGGGGTGGTGGAGCAGGCTGTAGGGTGCAGGGTGCTGCTTACTGCAAGATCTGGCCCTTTCATTGACAGAGAAAAGGGTGGGTCAAACTGAGAACTGGATTTAGGGCCTTAGGGAGGGTGAGTCCACTGATGCTGATACGCTCCCAGCCCCCACCCCCTCCCATGGCTCCGTTCTGTTAACACGGCCCCACTGATCAGCCCCTGGGATGCCGAGCACACAGTTACTGAAAGGATAGGCACCACCACTTCGTTAATGAGGCGAAGGTCTGGAACTAAGGGATAAGAACCATCAGGCTTTTTTTAACGGGGAGAATGGGAGTGTTACAGGGCGAGTTGATAGGAGTAAGGAGTCCCTTTCCCAGGAGTCGTTGGCTGATGGGTTTGAGACCCTGACGGTGAGTGAGGGAAATTGGAAACTGGGGGTGAGAGGGAAAAGAAGAGGGATCCTTAAGGCGAATGAGGACTGGGGTACGATGGGTGGCAACAATCAGGATAAAGATATTTCAGAACATGGGGTTGACAGTGGAGGGAGACAGCGGGGAGTCCTGAGAAGGATTAGGAGATGTTTGGAGCCGTGGGAGGATGAGAGCAGCGCTAGGGTGTTGGAGCCATGAGAGAGTAGCCCTGAGTTTGGTCAGAAGATCGTGACCCAGGAGCGGTGTGGGGCAAGAAGGCATGACTAGGAAAGAGCGGACCAGTGGTCCTGAGCCGAGAAGGAAGGCTGTCAACTCCCGTAACCAGGACCTGAGAAGGATAAACTTGACCGGAATAGGAGGGGAGGACAGAGAAGGCAGCCCCCGTGTCCACCAGGAAGGGGATGGACTTACCTGCTACCTTGACCGTTACCCTGGGCTCCTCAAAGGTTATTGGAGTCGATGAGTCCAGGCCTCTTCAGTCCTCAGCTGCCAAACCCAAGACCGCCGGTGGCAAGAGTTGCAGGGGCTGGAAGGACTGGCCCACCACAGCCAGGCGTGGAGGGACAGTCACTTTTCCAGTGACCCTGGAGGTTGCAGATGAGGCACGGTCCTGGAGGGCGGGGGTTGGGGCATTGTCTGGACCAGTGGCCTTCTCGGCCACATTTGAAGCAGGCTTCGGCGGCGGCGGTCAGTTGGTTGGCTGGGGCTCATGGGGCCCATTGTCGTCCTCTGTCGGGCAGCAGGCGCTGCGGTCGTTGGAGGAGCAGGGCCTGGCGGTCTCAAGGCAGCTACTAGGGCCTGAGCTTGAAGCTCAGCCTTCTGGCGACTGCGGAGTTTCCTCTCTGCCCTGTCCCGTTCCTCCCGGTTGTTAAATACTGTAAAGACCATGTTCAGCAGGTCCCGGGTAGGGGTTTGAGGACCATCCTCAGCCTTTGGAAGTCAGGAGGGTTTTTTGAGGAAGACAGGGTAATCTTTCAGAGCTTATGAAAGTTTATAGGTTTAGGCGCTGCCGGTTGGAGACCGGCTAGGGGACAGGTCAGAGGTCAGGGTGGAAGAGAAGAGAACATGTAATTATGACATGTAAGGTCATAGGCTTGGGTAAGATCATGAAATTTAGGTGTAGGTAGTGGGATCGTTTGTGAAAGAGCCAAGACGCTTTTCAAGTTGGGAGAGATCAGACAGAGAAAGGAACATGGACTCTAAGTCTTCCTCCAGTTCCCACCCACTTCCCTGCGGGGAGGGAGAAGAGGATCAGCAGGGAGAGGGTGTGGCGGCTGGGAGGTGAAAAGAAAGGGGGAGGGGCTGGATTGGGGAGCTGGAGGAGGTGAAGACTGAGAATCTAGAGGATCAGAGAATGCAGAAGAGGGGTCTGCAGAGGGCGAAGAGAGAGAGGAGTCTCGAGACTTAGAAAGTGCGGCAGGTTTGCAGGAGGGAGGGACGGGGCGGGGCGCAAGAGAAAGCCAGCCTGGCCCTACGGATCTCTGACCATGTTCCATTGCCGTGACAGAATTGTTGAGGTCTGTGAGGACCGAGAAGTCAAAAGTGCCATGTTTGGGCCAGTGGGAGCCATTGTCCAATTGATGCTGAGGCCACGTAGTGTTGCAGTAAAAGACCAGACGCTTAGGGCGTTATGTGGCCTTAGTCCCAATGGACCGAGGTTTGAGAGAAGGCATCCCAGTGGAGTGGTTGGAATTTGGCTTGGAATTTGCGGACCCCATGACTAAGTCGGCTCCTTTCCCAACTAACGGGGCACAGAGTCAGGACGCAGCGTCCCACGAACCTGATCTGGCCGTCGGGAGCACAGGCCCCGCATCGCGGCGTCCCCCGATTCGATCCTGGCCTTCGGAACAGAGGCAGACAAGCGAGGGGGACGTCTCCACTGCTCGGTTGCGCCTAGGATTCGGGCACCTAGTCTGGAAGGGCGTCCCCAGATCCAGGGTCTAGGTGTACGGGAGTTGGCTGAAGTGGGCCCACGGTTTACGGAACAGCCAACCAAGGGAGGGGGTCAGGAGAGGAGCCGGATAGCCAGAGGCGAGGGCCTCCCAGGAAGGAGGGTCAGGCAGTGACTTACCCCAAGGATTAAGGCCGGTGGTGGGTGTGAGGCGTCTGCAATGGAGAGGAGAGGTCCCAGGGACGAGAAGGCGGCCCCGGCGCCAGAGGACACGGCCTTCCCGGGTTGCGGAACCAAGATGAAAGGTTCGGCGCGGTAAAGACAAGGAGAGCCAGGCTACAGTTCTCAAAGGGAGGGAAAGTTTGTTGTGCCCCGGGCGGACCTCACGCACCCAAGGCGGGGGTCAGTGGAGTTGCGCAGGTTGTTAGGGGGAAGCAGGGTTTTATAGGGCGAGGAGAGGTCAGGTGGGTAGTTGGGCTCGAACGGCGGGAAAAGTTCGTAGGGCAGGTAGAGGTTCTTTGTCTGAGATGAGACTCGTAGGGGGAGGGGGGAGGCTCATCGTCTGAGTCCTCCAGGCAGGTATCCGCATTCCTGCCCCCCAGGTGGGCTTCCTGGTTGGCTCCTGCATTCTGGCTTCCTGCATGGACCTTTCAGTTACCAGCCCCCAGGCCATCAGGTGTGCCCCTGCCCCAGGGCCTTCAAGCATCCTGCTCCTGTGTAACTTGAAAGGAGCCTTGTACGCCCACAGAGGCACGCCCAGCTGGCGTGGGGGCTGGGTCCCTGAGGCTGCCCAACAGGGCCCCACAAACCAGGGTTTAAACCACAGGTGTCTGCGCAGGGTCCAGGGTCAAGGCCAGGGTGGCCCCCTCTGGGCTTGAGGGTCAGAGGCCCCCTCCCAGCCTCTGGTGGTGGGGGCACCCCCCCTTCCTCGCTCCTGGGCGGGTTCCGCATCACCCTGCCCCTGCTCGCCCCTCATAAGGACTCTGGCCATTGGACTTAGGGCCTCTTCTCTTGATTCCCCTGCATAGCCCCTGTGCAGAAGCTTTGGTTGGGCTTGGGGGGCGCCCCTCTCCCTGCAGGCTGGGTGGAGGGTGCGTGTGGAGCTGCTGGGAGCCACGGAGGCGCTGGGGGAGGTACTGGGAGAGGGACTTGCTCTTTGGCGCCTCAGCCCCTGCCACCTCCAGTGCATTTACATTTCTTGTTATCTGATAAGGGCTCACAAGAGCTCAAACAATTAGCCATGATCTAGATCTTTTTCTTCCTGTTGCAAACTAATCCCTGGCTTGGGATTCAGAAAGAAGCTTTCCTGGTGTGGCTGGTCTGGCTGCCAGTGGTTCTGTTTTGCTGCAGCAATGCCAGGGTGAATGTGGGGTGAGGGCGGTGACCCCAGGCCACATCGGCAGCCATCAGACGGGCTCCAGAGAGACTGGGCCAGGCTGGGATTGTCGACACCCTCATCTCCCCCACTTGAGGACCCACCAGTGCCCTGGAAATGTTTTTAAGGGGAGCCTATGAACCCTGCTTCATGGCTGGCTCTCATCTGCCCTGCACACCAGGCACTTCCCGCCCTCAGACTCCTGTGTGTGTTTGGGGAGGGCCTGGCCTGTACAGCAGCCCCCAGTTCTAGGGCTGCTGAACCCCAGCTTCACAGGGAAGAGGACAGGAAGTGCACTTCCCCGGGGTGCAGGTGCAGGTGTGGCGGCCGAGCCGTCTGTCTGTGGAAGCTGTTGCGGGTGCTGGTTGGACGGGTGCTCCTGGGCACCCAACGGGCCCTTTTGTGCCCCCACCTCATCCCATGAGGCCAGGAGAGACTGAGGGTCCAGCTTGGCTAGCAGGATGTGCCCTTTTCTGGAAGTCTATGAGGGATGTGTTTGGCCCCGCTGGGTTGGCTTCCTGGAGGAAGTCGCCACTCTGTGCCTGGTGTCAGGACAGACCTGCTCGGGCTGCTCTGCCACAGTTTTCCCACCTGTGATGTGGGTGTAACAGGGTGGTCCCAGGAAAGGGGGAGGTTCCCTGCCCCACCCAAGGGAGGGTGGAGCTGAGCAGGGAGAGGAGAAGCTGCAGAAGAGACTGAGGAAGGAAGCAGGATGGAGCCAGGAGACCTGGAGGAGGCGCATGGAGCCTAGAGACATGTGAAGAAACTGAGCTTGTCTTTTGGTCGTGGACGGGGTGACACAGATGTGGGTGAGACCCGTGGGGAGGTGACCATGGCAGCTTTTATCTTGATGTTGATTTTGCTCTTTTCCTTCCGGGCTTGTCTGGTAGTTTCTGACCCTTTTCTGTGGGTCCCCACTGGAAGGTGCTTTAGACTTGGGGCAGGCTTTGGGGCCTTGCTCTGGGCCGACCCCATTTGGATGGACTTTTACCCACGAGGGGATGGGTCACTTTGGGTGCTTCATTTAGAAACTAGACTCTGCCTTTCCTGTATTGTTTCCTAGTTTTATTAAAGTTCCTTCCCATTAAAGTCTCCTATGTTTTGTGTTGATGCGGCGGATGGCAGAACCCATGTAGAATAGGCAGGTTTGCGGGGTTTGGGCTGCCCCTCTCCCTGCCCTATAACATGGGGAGTCCACGAGCCCTGAATGCATCCAGGTACGAGCTGGTGTGGCTGCGGTCCTGTCCTGTGCCCCCAGTGGGGCCGGGGCTCTGTGACCGCCGGGGTCACCCGACTTTCCTTTCTTATCTTTTGAAGCCGCTGGCACCCCAGAAAGCAGCGCCCCGGTGGACTCAGAGCCCAGCCAGTGGGCGTGCAAAGTGTGTTCTGCCACCTTCGTCGAGCTGCAGCTCCTGAACGGTAAGGGGCTCTGCGCCTGCCCTGGCAGGGCACCCCGCGGCCACACGCCCCGCCCCTCGCCTGCTCTGTGCTCTGGGAACCAATGGTGTGGGGGTGGTGCCGACCAGAGCAGGGGTGCCAAGGCCGGACCCCAGGTCTGGCCTGTAAGGGCTGGGGTGTCCTCGCAACTGCCGGGGGCGGGGGCGCCCCGAGGTACAGGGCGGGTCGTGGGATCTGGGCCGGGTCAGCACTGCTGGTCAGTCACGGGGAAAAGCCAGACTGCAGCCTGTCTCGACTGGTCCACTCCTTGACCGCCTGTGACAAGGGGGCCACCACGCCGCAGCCTCCAGGGAGGGGGCGCACTTCCGGGGTGCGTGCAGGGGGCCGGGTGTGGTTCTGGGTCAGGCTCGGCAGTGTGCGCTCTGGGAGGCTGGCTCACTTCCCAGCCCAGACGATGCTTCGAACCTGAGCCCCTACCCCCCGCTTTTGGACTTGGACCTAGAGGTGCATGACGTGGGGTTGGCGCATGCTTTGCCAAGCCAGGCGGGTCACGCGGGACCCCAGACTCATGGGACGGTGTTGGGACGGGTAGAGTGGCCACGAGACTGGCCTTGCCCTGCCCCCCGGTCCTGCGGGAGCCCGGCTGGCGCTGCAGACTGCGGGTGGACGCGGGAGGGCGTGGGCATGCACCTGGTGCCCCGCTGGCGCTGCACCGAAGTGGCAAAAATCGAGGGGGAAGCACAGGGCCACAGGCGAGTTGAGAAGCTGGGAGGTGTTTGGAGAAACGGTAACCACTCAGCAGACTGGAGAGCTGAACCCGCAGAGAAAACCACAGCCAGCTCCCCGAGAGCCAGGAGGCAGGGGGAGGTCGGGGGGTGGGTGGGTGGGGAGGGGCTTGAGTCTGTGTGGAAGTGGCCGCACCCCTGGCTTCCCGGCCGCCCCGCTCTGTCGGATGACTGCTCCAGAACATCGGGGCGCGCCCTCCAGGGGCCCTTGAGACTCGGGAAGTCTTGCGCCTGAAACAGAAGGGCCCTTGCAGCCTCCGCCTGAGCAGCCTCCACCCAGCGTGGACGGGGTCGAATCCCCTGGCGAAAGTGACCAGCCCCCGCCACGGAGAGCTGGGAGACCCCCCTTGAAACAGCCGCTCAGCCTCTGCCCACCTGTAGGGGGGCCCACCTGCGCCTGCGCCCTTGGGCCGGAGGGAAGCCTGTGTCAAGGAGCAGCCGATGTGGGAAGAAACTCCCAGCATGAGAGAGGGAGCTTGGCCGGCAGGAACAAACTGCCCTGAGAAATGGACACTCGAGTCAGAAGGAAAAAACTAAAGTCAAAACCAAAACCGACGGTTGCTCAGGTTGCGCAGGTGAGAGCTGTCGCTGCCCCCTTGAGAGAAGACAGGCTTGCAGCTTAAGAAGAAATCAGAGACTAGAATAGCTGGAAATTCAAGCGGCAGAATTAAGTTTGGCTGATGAGCACTAGATTGACATGGAGGAACCTTCCAGAAAACTGAACGTGAAGAGAACAGGAATGGAGAAAGGCAGAAAGGGGTGGACCCCGGACAGCCAGTGGCGGAGAAGAGGACACGGCCCGGCCATGCCCAGCACTGGACACCTTCCTGGGGAGGAGGGCCGGCAGGAGCCCCCCACGAGCTGCTGCGTGCGGACCTCAGCGGCGCTGGAGCCTGGAGAGAGCCCTTCTGGCCCAGGCGTGGTCCCTACCCCGCTGGAGGGCGCCCCAGTGCAGGCGACCGGTGTTTGGGGCGCAGATGCGCCGGGCGGGCTTGGCCTTGGACTTGGCCTCTGGGCCCCCCGCGGGTCCCCGTGCATGCTTGTGCACGCATTGTTCTGCTGCTTCCAGGCCTGTGTGTGGGGAGCCTTTTGTCGCGTAATTCCCTCTTTGAAGGTGCGTCATGTCACATCTTCAGAATAAAGCTCGCCTGCCTGTGAAAGGGGCGCAGGCGAGCCAGCGGCGTGGCCGCAGTGGACACCGCAGGCCTCACGGTCCTGGCGCGTTTGCTTCTCTCCTGCAGAGCATTTGCTGGGTCACTTGGAACAAGCCAAAAACCTCCCTCCGGCCGGCCAGCACGATGCAGCCCCTGAGAAGGAGCCAGATGTGCCCCGGGCGGAGCCTCCCGCCACCCCCAAGAGCGTAGGTGCCACCAAAGAGCAGAAGAAGAAGCCTCGAAGGGGGAGAAAACCCAAAGTCTCAAAACCTGAGCAACCTCTAGTCATCTTTGAAGGCAAAGAGCCCGCAGGTGGGGGCCGGTGAGGGGGGAGGAGCCTGCACGTGTTGGGGGGGAGCCTGCAGGTGGGGCCAGAGGGGGGAGGAGCCCGCAGGTAGGGTGGGTGGGGGATGGGGGCTGGTCCCCGGGAGGAGCCCGCAGGTGGGGGCATCACCTCCTTAGGTTCATTCCTGGGAATTTAATTCTTTTTGATGTGATTGTGAATGGAATTATTTTCTTAATTTCTTTTTCTTCGTGCACATTATTTGTATATAAAAATGCAACAGGTTTTTGTACATCAACCTTGTGACGGGCCGCTTGGCTGTAGTCACACTTTAATGGCTTTTTGGAGAACCTGAGGCCTGACTGTCCCAGTCTGGGTTGCTGTTTTGCCTTGTCTGAAGGTGTCATCTGCTCTGGAATGCACTCAAGATGACTTCCCCACATAAAGTCTTACTATTTTTAAATCTCACTAGAACTGACTTAATACACCAGAAGGTCCCTGCAAGCTGAGAGGCTCTGTCGGCCGCACGACGGGGATGGGAGTGAGGCTGTGCCTGTTACAGCTTTGAAAGGAGCCACAAATTATTTTTTTTTTAAGATTTATTTATTTATACAAGAACCGGGGTACAGGCCAGATGCGCGGGAGGGTGAGAAGATTCCCCAGAGACAGAGCTGGGAGCAGAACAGGCAGACTGACCGAAGTGCACTGCTGAGGGGAGCAGCGGGCGGCAGGAGAGGTCTGCGCGCCATGTGGGACCCTCTCCTACGGCCAGGATTGAACCGGCGCTGCAGGCTGCGGGCAGCTTCACAGCGCTGCACTCAACTGCCTGTGCCACCAGGGGAGGCCCAGGAGCCACAAATTATAACTCCAGTTTGGGGCTAAGAGCAGCAGGTCGCTTTCTTATGTATTTATAGGCAGGTGTGTGGGTTCCGGACCCAGCAGGTTTTCTCTTGCCCTCAGCGGGCCCCACGCTCCATGCGGGTGGCCCAGGGTCTGCTGGGGGCTGTCCCTGCGGTGTGACGCTGTGTCCTCTCCCTCGCAGAGCAAGTGGCAGAGATCACCGCCGAGGTCCCGCCGGACGAGCCTGTGGCCGCGGCCCCAGATGAGCGTATCATGGAGCTGGTCTTGGGGAAGCTGGCCAGCAGCGCCGGCGACGCCAGCCCAGTGCCGAAGTAAGGCCCGGGGGCTCCCGCCACCCTGGGGGGCAGCCAGCGCGCTCCCCTGCCGGAGCCTGGGCGACAGGCGGCTTATTTCTTGTGGTGGGAAACAGACATGCTCAGGAGGCAGTCAGAATGTTCTGGAAGCCAGAACTTTAGCTCTGCATCCTCTGTGACATAGCTAGCAATTTCCCGTGTGTCTGATAGAATACACATCGCAAGCATTTATCGTCTTTACCGTTTTTTAAACGCACAGCTCAGTGGTTTTAAACATGCCCTCACTGTGTGCCACCCACCGCCAGAGCCTCCCACCCCCAGCCTGCAGCTCTGTCCCCGTTAACCACTGGCCAGCCTCCCAGGCCTGGCCACCCTCTGCTCGGACCCCACGATGGCGCACGGCACGTGCCTGCGTCCTCGGCCCCTCACCTAAGTGGGGCCGCACGGTGGATTGTCTGTGTTTTTCTTATGTAAGTTTTTCTTTGACGTTGAATAAGCTGAAGGTGAGTTTTTGGCCCTCTCTGGGGATCCCTTCCAGTCACCCCCGTGCGCCTGGGGCAGGGGCTGTGGAAATGCTGAACCAGACGCGTCATGTCAGAAGCAGCGCTGCCTGCTCGTTACTTCCACGCCGCCCCGCTGCCAGAGGGATTTGGTGATTTACCCCCAGAAACGCATTTACTAAAGAGAAGACATTTAAAAAGTCAGATTCAAGGAAAATGAAAGCAGAGCGAGGCCAGGGAGAGGAGCAGTGCAGTTGGACACAGAGCTTCCTAGTGGCCACAGCGAGAACAGAAAACCTCAGGGTAGTTCAGAATGCCCCTCCCTTCTAGACGCCCCTGAAAAGTTGGGGGTGCCGCCGAAGCACGCCCCTCCTTCCTGCCCTGGAGCTGGGAAGGTTCCCCAAGGCGCTCCCCACGCCGACTGCCGTCCTGCGCTTTCCCCAGCGCGGCGGCGTCTGAACAGTGTCTGCCCGGCCGCAGGTTCCCGCATCACCCGAGCAGCGCCCTCACCCTCAAGAGGAGCCTGCTTCTCTCCAGCCGGCACGGCATGCGGCGGAAGCTGGCCCGGCAGCTGGGGGAGCACCGGCGGGTGTACCAGTGCAGCGTCTGCAGCAAGGTCTTCCAGAACAGCAGCAACCTCAGCCGGCACGTGCGCTCGCACGGTGAGCCCGGCCCCCGCCCCGTCCCGCCTGGCTGCAGCCGTCCTGCAGCCCTCTCAGGACCTGTCTGGGGGTGACCGGCTTCTGTCACTTGGCCTGTAGGAGACAAGCTGTTTAAGTGCGAGGAGTGTGCGAAGCTGTTCAGCCGCAAGGAGAGCCTGAAGCAGCACGTCTCCTACAAGCACAGCAGGAACGAGGTGAGTGGTGGCGCCCGCCCTGGCTGCCCGCGGGGCAGTTGACTACAGGGCACCACGGGAAGTGGAGACTCGATTCCTACGAGCTTGAGGGGGCCGGTGGCCGGGTGCCGGGCGCATGTGAGGGGCCCTGGCCTGGCCTGCGCTGCTGGGATGGGGGGGGGGGGCAGTGCGGGCAAGGCTGTCCACGCGGGGCCTCCTGAGACAGTGGGCCGGCAAGAGCGAGGCCCTCCTCGAGCCCTGCGCCTAGCAGGCCTGCAGGGAGACAGAGCTGCTGGCGGAAGTGGCTGGCGCCTGGAGCGGGGCCTTCTTCCGGGCGTCCCCCCTCACGCTCCTCCCTCGGCCAGGTGGACGGCGAGTACAGGTACCGCTGTGGCACCTGCGAAAAGACCTTCCGCATCGAGAGCGCGCTGGAGTTCCACAACTGCAGGACAGGTGAGGGACCGCCGCGGCCTCCGCGCGTGGCCTGGGTGGACGCGGGCGCGGTGCCTGGGGGCATTCGGGGAGCAGACTCACTTTCAGCCTGCCCCGGATTCTCCCACTCACGAGACGGCAGCGCAGGCTGGCTGGGCCCGGGACCGGCGGAGGGGCAGGGCAGAGCAGGCGGACGGCTTGAGGGGAGCGGCCCTGGCCCTCAGCTTCCCTTCCCCGACTCCCGCTGGCGCCGCAGAGGGCCGGCCTGGGTGAGGGGGGCGTCTCAGCCCGGTGTCCTGGGTGCGCAGCCCGTGGGCGTGCCCGGGAGAGCACAGACAGTGGGCACCAGGGCAGGGGGATGTGACGGGTGCCAGATGGCGTCGGCAGGGCAGTAGATGACACAGCGTGTGATGGAGGACGCATGTGAGAGACGGCAAGTAAGTAGGTGTCACGGGGACGACAGAAGCTCGAGGTAGTGATGGGTGATAAATATGACGGCGTAAACAATAGATACAAGATACGACAATAGGCTAGAGATGTAACAAATACGACAGTCACCTGTAATGTCTTTAGCTGAAACAGAAACCCCCGTGGGCTGGGGCAGCCACAGGGCCTCCTGCCTTCCCCCGAGCCCCCGGCTCCTCCTGTGCCCGAGGTGAAGGGCACCGCCCTGGTTCTACCTCGAAGCCCAACACTGCATTCCCTGGGTGCCCCCCTTCTCCTGGAATTGGCGCTCGCTAGGTGGGCAGCTCAGCCTTGCTAGACCCCTGTCCCTGGTGACCCCAGGTGGTCCCATCCCCGGTGGCCCTGTGAGGTCTCCCGGCACCCTGTGCCCGTATCTGCTGGCTCCTGCGCAGGTGCCGCGTGTCCTGCAGCGTCCATAGCCACCGTCCTGCGTGGTCCTTGCTCGGCTCTGAGGCTCGTCCTCAGGCCCGGCTCCCGTGGTGCTGAGTGGCGGGGTGAGCTTTCCAGCAGTGTGGCCATGGCCGTGATGCAAAGTGGCCTTGGAAGCTTCCAGAATGCTGCCACCTGAGTTCTGTGCCCCCATCCTGTGTCCCCCAAACCTGGGGTTTCCACCCAGCTCTTCACTGATTAGAGTCACCTGAGCTCTGGACAGATGAGCTGACTGTTGTTGGGATGTCGCCTGCCTGGCCTGTTAGCATGTAACTGAGGGGAGTCCAGGGACCCCAAACAGTAAAGTGGCCCAGGCTCCAAAAGGGTCCAGCCGTCCGTGCACACAGAAGCAAAGGAAGCCGACTACTGGTGTGATCGCCTTTAATCGGATTGGTGGAGAGAGGGGGAGAGAGAGGATTTCCAGAAATAGTTTCCCAATAAAATTCCAAAACTTACCCACCCCATATGGGCAGTTGCTCAGCCAGACAGGCTTGTCCCAAAGCTGGGCCACTGAGGCCTGATGCTCTCCACGAGTCTAAGGTGCCTCCCGCCAAGGCGCCACCGCGAGGGGGTTAGGCAGGTCCCCGAGAGCTGGGACAGGAGGAGAAACGCAGAACCCCAATGTGCCCCATAATCCACCTCAAGGTCAAGGTGACGGCTGCCAGCGTCTCTGTAAGGACCAGCAGCCATGTCCCCACGTGTCTCCCCCAAGGGCCTCGGTGTCCCTCTCTGCGCCCCCTGCTCCCTCCAGCTGCCCCAAGGGGAAGCCTGGACGCGCGCTAGGACTTGTCCAGGGTGGCACTGGAGGTGGGAGCGGGGCTCCGTCCTGTTGGGTGCACAAGGTGCGGTGAGCACCCCCACCCACCCCCCGATCCTGGAGGAGAACGGGTCCTTTCCGGGACTCGAACAAAACAGAAAGTAGCGAAGTCAGAGGCACAGGCCCACCTGGCAGCTGAGGTCGCGCTGGCGGGACCGACTCCCCTGCACTGTGGGACGCCCCCGGGGAGGGCGGGGAGAGTGGGTGGGCCTGGAGCCGAGCTCCTGTGCGCTGGCACTGGGTGCTGCTCCCCCCACGGTCTCCACGCTCAGAGGGTGCGTCTCCGTGGGCACTCAGCAGGCCAAGGTCGATGGACTGGGGCGGAAGCTTCGGTGTGGGGTTCTGCCCCGCGGGCCTGCTGCCGTGACTCCTGTGGACAGGCCTGTCTGCCCTTGAGCGGCGAGCCTTTGTGCCCCGGCCCAGGCCCCAGCGTCGGGTCACCTGCACCCACACCCCTCACGGTCACTGCGTTTCAGAGCTATCAGGGAGGACCCCCAGGGCAGCGGGGTTGGGGGGCTGTCCCTGGTGTGATGACTGGTCCCAACAGCTCTGCTCCAGCCCAGCTCCCCCGCAGGGGCTGCGTGTGAACTGCGGGTGGGAGGGGTGGAGGTGGGGGTGCAGGTGGGGGGTAGAGGGTGGAGGTGGGGGGAGAGCCAGACAGGACTCCTGAGGGAGAAGCACCTGCTGCGGCTGCCGGGGTGGGGCGGGGTTTGGGGGGCCTCACTGGGGTGGTTGTGCCTGCCTTAGAGAAAGGGGAGGGCGTGGTGGGCATGGTGGGCATGAGGGGCTGCACAGCCCATCTGCAGGGAGGGCTCCCTCGGGGGCTTGTTGAGGTGCGGGATCAAGGTCGGGGTATGTCTTGGCAAGTGCAAGGGGGTGGGAGGGGTCAGAGTGGCCAGGGGAGCACATGAGAGGAGCGGGATGTGGGGGAGCAGAGCAGGGAGCACTGGCCGAGGCCCCTCTGGGGTGAGGCCCGAGAGCTCCCAGGTGGCTGGGCAGGCGGTGCCAGTCCCTCGTCGGGGGTGGCCAGGGCCGTTTCCGGGGCGCTGAGCCCAGATGCCCCAAGGGCGGGCGGCGCAGGGGCCTCGGGTGCTTTCTGGGCTGGCCCTGCCAGGCCCCGCGGCCCCTGGCTCTGGGCCACCGTCTTCCCTAAGCGCGGCTGTGTGCTCCCTCTGGACAGATGACAAGACCTTCCAGTGTGAGATGTGCTTCAGGTTCTTCTCCACCAACAGCAACCTGTCCAAGCACAAGAAGAAGCACGGCGACAAGAAGTTCGCGTGCGAGGTCTGCAGCAAGATGTTCTACCGCAAGGACGTCATGCTGGACCACCAGCGGCGGCACCTGGAGGGTGAGCGGGCGGGCGCTGGCAACGCCCTGCGAGGCCCGCGGGGGGAGCGCTGGGGGTGCGCGGGGCCCGAGCTTGCAGGGGCAGCCGGAGCGCCGGGTGCTGGGGAGGAGCGGGGAGGCCCGGTCGCGGCCGGCGGACGTGACGCTGCCGCTGACTCTTGCTGTGGTGGGCGCCGCGACGGGGGGCGGGTGCCCGGTGGCGCCGCGGGTCTGCCCGCCGACTTGCCAGGGCGTGCCTGGCCCAGCTCTGCGGCCCCCTCTGGTATGCGGGCATGTCCCGGGACAGGTCAGCGTTGGAGAGAGACCTGGAGAAGGGCCTGCTCTCTTTTGAAAGTTCCCCGCTGCTCAGCGCTGGCCCGTCCCGGGCAGGAGTGCCAGCAGCGTGCGGAATTATTATTACCCGCCGTCGCGCCCTGGGCCCGGCTGACTTGTTTGCCAGGGTCAGTGAGTAGCTTTTTAATAGCAAGCGTCTGCCCGCGCATGGCCAGCTCCAAGCGCCTTTCTGGGCCGCAGCCGGCACGCAGGTGCCCCTCCTGGGCGCGTGTTTTGCCGCTGCGAGGTGGGCAGCCCGGTGCCCGCCTCTCCACGCTTCCGGGGCGAGAGCCTCCCCCAAGCGCCGCCGCCCAGCCCCAGCCGCAGCGGTGCCGCGCCCTCCCACCCCGGCGTCCCGCCGGCTGTCCCACGAGCAGGGCGGGCGCTGACCGTGCGGTGGGTTGCAGGAGTGCGGCGGGTGAAGCGGGAGGACCTGGAGAGCAGTGGCGAGAGCCTGGTGCGCTACAAGAAGGAGCCCTCGGGCTGCCCCGTGTGCGGCAAGGTAACGCCTGAGCGGTGCAGCCCCCGCTGCCGGGGAGGAGCTCCTGGAGACGCTCGGCCACCCCAGGCTGCGGGCCCCCGCCCCACCCGAGTCACGCTGGCCTCTTGCCGCCGGGGTGGGTCCCGGGAGTGGGCCCTGTTCCCTTGGGCGCCCCTGCCCACGCCCTCCCCTGCCTCTCTGAGCCGGTCCCCGCGTGCCGGCGAGGCCGTGTGCCCAGGAGGAGCGGGCGGCCGGTGGGGAGCTGCAGGCCGCTGAGACCCGGGGCTGCCTGCCAGCTGGGGTTGGGCTGTCAGGCTTGAACTTGGGGGAAGCATCCTGTGTCCAGAGTGGTCCCTCTGGGGGCCTGCCGGTGACCAGCCCTGCTGTCCGTCCGTCCAGGTGTTCTCCTGCCGGAGCAACATGAACAAGCACCTGCTGACCCACGGCGACAAGAAGTATACCTGCGAGATCTGCGGCCGCAAGTTCTTCCGCGTGGACGTGCTCAGGGACCACATCCATGTCCACTTCAAGGTCAGGGCCGGTGGTGCCCACTCCCGGGCAGGCCAGGGGGTCCTCCTCGGCCGCGCTGCTCAGAGCGCTGCCCTCTCTCCCCTCCTGCACGTGGAGTCCCGGGAGCCCGTGGGGGGAGGGGAGGGCAGCAAGCAGGCCTGAGGCCTGTGCTTGGGGGTGGCGGGGCGTGGCTTGTCCAGGACCCACATACCCTTCTGCGTCCTGATGCTCCCCTAGAGTTGGGCGGTGGCCAGGGGTGGGCCAGACCCTTGGAGGCCACTGCCGGTGGGTGGGGAGCCGCCTCCACACAGGGTGCCCTCCGGCCCCACCGGTGGCCACTGCCTGTGTGAACGGGGGTGCCCGGGCTGGCCCCCATCAGCTGCTCTCTGCCTTGTGCAGAGAAGAGGGGGGCTTTGGGCCCTCGGGGCGGGACAGCGGCCTGGGGTCGCTCAGCCCACCCCACCCACGGTCAGGCTGGGAGTGAGGCGGCCCAGGCCCAGGCCTGACCAGGGTGTTGCGGCGCATCTGGCTGGGGTGCAGGGTGCCCTGAGGGAGCCTGTCCCAGGACGCAGGCTCAGCCGGACGCCCCGTGGGGCAGAGCCCGCTGCCGGCTGCGTGGACGGGTCGGTGGTTGCTGGGCTGGGCAGGTGAGGAGGCGCGTGTGACTCCGCAGGACATCGCGCTGATGGACGACCACCAGCGGGAGGAGTTCATCGGCAAGATCGGCATCTCCTCCGAGGAGAACGACGACAACTCTGACGAGAGCGCGGACTCGGAGCCGCACAAGTACAGCTGCAAAAGGTGCCAGGTAACTGGAGGCCGGGAGCCCGCAGAGGCCGGAGCCCGCAGAGGCTGGGATCCTCGGAGGCCGGGGACCCCGAGGCCAGGAACCTGGAGGCCGGGACCCCACAGAGGCTCCGACCGCGGGACCCGGGAGCCCCGGCTGGGGTACCGGCGCTGCCCCAAAGGTCCGGGAAGCCCCCGTGTCACGTCGCTTCCAAAGGGCCGTCTCTGTGGGTCTCACCTCTGTCCCCAGCCCCTCCTCTCAGAGCCAGTCTTGTGACGGCACACTCCCCAGAAATGTGGCCGTCGGGGCAGCGACTGTCCATGCAGGCAGTGGCCACAGGCGGGGGCGTCCCTCTGCTCCCAAGGCCTGAAGCCTTTCACACACCTGGAGGGGCCTGGTGCGGGGGCTGGTTTCCCGGATGGCTGAGCTCTGCCCCTTCGCTGCTGCTGTCCGAGCGGAGCCCCCGTGACCTCGTTGCCCGGAAGGTCCAGTGGCCTGTCAGGGGCAGGGACCGAGGCCTCTATGCATATGGCCCGCGTGCCGCGGGCACAGCTGACCATTAGGGCCACCGGGCGTGGGAGAGACGGGAGGTGGAGGGGTGCAGGGGGGCCCAGGGCTGGGGCTGGTCTGGACAGGAGGCCGGCGGTCCGGGGGGCTGGGTGTCCGCGCTCTCGGCCCCCCGTGAGTCGGCCTGGCCTGGGCGCGGTCAGCAGCACCTGCTGTGCCGCAGCTCACCTTCGGCCGGGGCAAGGAGTACCTGAAGCACATCATGGAGGTGCACAAGGAGAAGGGCCACGGCTGCAGCATCTGCCACCGGCGCTTTGCACTCAAGGCCACCTACCACGCCCACATGGTCATCCACCGCGAGAACCTGCCCGACCCCAACGTGCAGAAGTGAGTCTGCTGTGCTGCGGCGGCCGGGGAGGCCACCTTTCCGTGACACAGCCCCTGGCCTGGCTGCTGCCACCGTGCCTGTCCCCACAACCATGCGGTTCCCGGGTGCCAGCCCCGTGTGGGCACTCGGTGGCCTGTACCACTGTTCAGAGGCTGGGACCTCTCGGCCCTCCGTGGGTGAGGAGACCCTCCCTCCGTGCTCGTCTGAGCTGTGTCCTCCTGCCGTGAGGACAGTCACCCGGGGCAGCACCCGGTGGCCTCTCGTCAGCTCCACCACCCTGGGAAGACCCTTCTCCACAGGAGGCCCGATTCTGGGCTGCTGGGGCTGGGCTTCGTGGTGGGAGTTTGAGGGGAGGCAGGTCAGCCTGTGAGGGGCGATTGTCCTGGTCTCCCCCCACCTCTGCTGCAAGGCGGCTCTGGTGAACGCGGCTGAGCCTGCGTCGCTTTCAGGTACATCCACCCCTGCGAGATCTGCGGGCGCATCTTCAACAGCATCGGGAACTTGGAGCGGCACAAGCTCATCCACACAGGTGGGGCCGGCGGGCAGGGCCCTGGGCGGGGCTCACGCTGTCTCCCCAGCCCGGCCCTCCCTGCCCGCCTCGGGACGTTCGTGGCTGGAGAGCCAGGGGAGGCGCCGGCGGGAGGCGGCCGCCTGACGGTGGACGTGTACCGTAGGGGTGAAGAGCCACGCCTGCGAGCAGTGCGGGAAGTCCTTCGCCCGCAAGGACATGCTGAAGGAGCACATGCGCGTGCACGACAACGTCCGGGAGTACCTGTGCGCCGAGTGCGGGAAAGGTGCGCGGGCGGGGGCGGCCCGCAGAGGCCGGGTCGGCCGTGGGGCGCTCTTCCGCCCAGGGCCTGCGGCGTTGGCTGCGTGACGTCCTCCTTGGCTCTGACGCCTCGTCATGCCCCTCTCGGTGTTTCCTCTTCCTTCTCTGTCACCTTCACCGTGTGCGGAGCCAAGGCTTGTGCCAGCTGCTCCTGCCACACCTGCTTTTCACTGACTTTAGTCCCCCTTAGAGGTCTTTTCCTAGGAGGGCAGGTAGCTCTCGCCCTCGTCTGTCTCTCCAAACGGGACAGGATCCCGCCCTGTGGGTTCCCAGGCCCTCTTACACGTGAAGGACTTGCAGGCGTGTCCAGCAGACGGCCTCCTCCTCTGGGATCCCCTGGCCTGCGGGGCGTCCACGGCTGTGGGGCAGTGAGGTGCCCTGGGCAGCAGGGGGCCGTGTGCGCGCCTGGCTTCCCGGCCCCGCCAGGCCCAGGAAGCACCTGCCCTGGAATCACTTCCCATAGCAGGACGGGTCTGGGGGCAGGGGGCCTTGCTGAGGCCCTACGCTGGCAGGGGGCAGGCCTCATGCCAGGTTTGGGAACCCGGGTATTTGAAAACCGGCCATTTTCCCCAAAGTCGGTGGTCAGTGTGTTGGAGGCCAACACAGAGCCCCAGAGAGCCCTAGGGCCCACCGGGGCGCTGGCTGCGTTGAGCATCGCTGGCAGGCGTTGTCCTGGTGGGGTGGGCCGGCCACTGCACGGGCGGGCGCGTCAGAACCGGGGCCTGGGCTGGTGCCTTCTGCGCCGTGTCAGGGCTTTGTGACCGTGTGTTGCTTAGCGGCAGCCACCCCAGGTGGTGGGTTTCGCCTGTTCCGCCTCCTCTAGCGGAGCGTGACGTGGTCACTGTGGGAAAGGCAGGTTGAGAGCCCCCGCCGGGGCGCCACGAGGGGGCCCTCTCCACGGCTTGGGCAGCCTGCCCTCTGGGAGAGGCTGGAGCGGGGCTGACCGTGGGCCCTGCAGGCATGAAGACCAAGCACGCGCTGCGCCACCACATGAAGCTGCACAAGGGCATCAAGGAGTACGAGTGCAGGGAGTGCCACCGCAGGTTCGCCCAGAAGGTCAACATGCTCAAGCACTATAAGCGGCACACGGGTGAGCGGCGCTGGGGCTGGGCCGGCGGCAGGGCAAGGACCTGGGGGCTTCCTGGGCGGTGGCTGTTGAGGGCAGTGAGGGCCGAGTGTCCTGGAGTGTCCTGGGGCATCCTGGGGGCTGCGTGAGGGCTGAGTGGTCTGGGGGGCGTCCTGGGGCTGTGGTGGGGTGGGGCATCCTGCCTGTGTGTGGCCCTGGGAAGTGGCTGCTCCCCCACGAGACGCCGCTGCCCTCCGCAGGGATCAAGGACTTCATGTGCGAGCTGTGCGGGAAGACCTTCAGCGAGAGGAACACGATGGAGACGCACAAGCTCATCCACACTGGTGAGCGGGCGCAGCACGGCGGGGCCTGGCCGGCAGCCGGCGGCCGGCGAGCTCCAGGCCTGTAGGCGCCTTCCTGGAGGGCTCGGGCCGTCACCGTGGCCCTGCCTCCCGCACATTGCCCACCACGGCTCTCAAGACTCTGTTCTTGAATCTTCTCTTCCTGAGCCAGGCCGCGCCCCCTGCCCCACAGGAGGCCCCGTGGGTGTCCCGGGCTGGGCGTGGTCCCGCAGCTGCCCTGGGGGCCCTCGCCGCAGAGTGGGCGCCCAGGGCGAAGCCCCCTCCTGGCCGGCCTGCCCTGACCCCGCCTCTCTTCTCTCCGCGCGGAAGTGGGCAAGCAGTGGACGTGCTCCGTGTGCGACAAGAAGTACGTGACCGAGTACATGCTGCAAAAGCACGTGCAGCTGACCCACGACAAAGTGGAGGCGCAGAGCTGCCAGCTGTGCGGGACCAAGGTGTCCACCAGGGCCTCCATGAGCCGGCACATGCGGCGCAAGCACCCCGAGGTGAGCGCCCTGTGCCCATCAGGCCCACGCCCTCTTGCCCCGAGTGTGACGTGGTAGGGCTGGCCACGGTGGCCAAGAAGACACAGTGGCAGTGGTGTCACGCGGTGGCAGTGGTGGCGGTCATGATAGTGACAGACACGTCTGTGGGTTCTGCTGCTCAGTGTGGGGCCCCTCAACACACAGGTCTCAGTGGTGCCATCCGCCTCCCCGTGAGCCTGGACCTCCCGGGCTGGGCCTGCTGCTCCCCTCCAGGCAGCCCCGCCTGCGCCCTGTGTGCGTGGCAGGTGACTCCTGGTCTTCCTTGAGCCACACCCATGGCGTGGTGCATCTGTGCCCTGCCCTTTCCTGAGTGGGACAAAAATCTGAGGGTGTTTGCAGACCTGGGGGAGGATCCTCACGGCCACCGTACCCCTCTCGCTGCCCTCGGCTAGCCCGCCCACAGCAGCTCCTTCCTGCAGCCCCTCCCCTGGTCTGCCCAGTGTCGGCCCCCGGCCATGCAGGAGGCACGTGGGGGGTTCCGCGTGAGGGTATCAGCTGAGTACCCTTCAGCGTGGCGCGGGGAGCGGAGGGATGTGGGGGCACCCCATCATCAAATCTCAGCTGTGCATGTATCAAGGTGAAAGGTACTGTGTTTGGGGGCTCACTGGTTTTCAGGGGCCTCTTGTGGGACCCCACGGTGTCCCCCCCGCTCTGCTTTGGGTGAGGTGACAGGTCTGTTGGGGCTTCTGTTGCTGAAAGCACATCAGCATGAGGCAGAAGGGGAGGCAGCGGTCTCTAGCCCGGGCGGCAGGGGTGGGGATACCAAGGACACCCATCACCCATATACTGCCCCTGCCTGGGAGAGCCCCGTGGGGACTGGAGATGGGGCGGGCGACCCCAAGGGAATCTGAAGCAAAGCCTCCGAGGTAGTGCCCAGGACGCCCGTGCCCGGGCTCAGGCACTCGCTGCTCGCAGGTGCTGGCTGTGAGGATCGACGACCTGGACCACCTCCCTGAGACCACCACCATCGACGCCTCCTCCATCGGCATCGTGCAGGCAAGTGCAGCCGGCGCGGGCGGGCGGGGGTCTGGGGAGCTGAGAGGACGCGTGCCGTGGTGCAGGCCTGAGCAGCCTCTTGGGGCCTGCCCTGTGCCCTGCGTGCTGAGAAGTGTGGGTCCCCTGGAACGGCTGGCTGCTGCTGTCCCCGCGGGTGATGGCCAGGCCTCGCGGCTGAGCCCTTGTGATCCGGGCTCGCTGCTGCTGCCAGTTCGTTGCAGCTGGGGCATGAGAGTCATGCTGGGGCGTGGCCATTCCCCGCTCAGGCCCAGAGGCTGCTCAGAGGTTTACACTTCAGCACAAAATGTGGCTTTTAATAGGACTTGTATAAACTGCCTTAAAAAGAAACCCAAAGGGCCTCCCTGGTGGCCTAGGGGCTGAGTCTCAGCACTGCGAAGCTGTCGGCAGCCACTGCAGCCTGAACTCGATCCCCGGCCAGGGAGGACCCACAGGGCGCAGCAGACCTCTCCTGTCTCCCCGCTGCTCCCCTCAGCAGTGGATTTCAGTAGATCCGCCTGCTCTGCTCCCCACTCTGTCTCTGGGGAATTCCCTCACCCCTGCACCTCTGGCCTGCACCCCAGTTCTTCTATGTAACAATAAATAAGTAAAATCTTTAAAAAGAGAGAGTCCTGAGGCCCGCAGAGACTTGCCCGTTCTTGGCGCTGCGGCTGGGCGGCAAAGGCCGGTCAGGCTCCCGGGCAGCCAGTGGCCCGAGGGCCAGCCCTGGTTGTGGGTTGTTGGGTGGTGCTGGGAGGCTTGGGCCACGGACTTGGGGGGGACGTGGCCGTTCACCTGGCTGGTGCTGGGCGGCTCTCCCGCAGCCTGAGCTGGGCCTGGAGCCGGAGGAGCTGGGCGAGGGGAAGCACGCCAAGGCTGCCCGCAGGCCGCACAAGCGGAAGCAGAAGCCGGAGGAGGCGGCAGCGCCAGGGCCCGAGGATGCCGCCTTCAGCGAGTTCCCGGAGAAGGAGCCCCCCTTCGCGGGCGGCGTGGGGGACGAGACGGACTCCGCGGTGCAGAGCATCCAGCAGGTGCGCTCCGTGCCCGGCCAGGGCCAGCGGCTCCACGTTGTGGGCTGGGCCCTGCTCCATGCTGGATGCGGGCACTGGGAGCCACCGGCATCGCTGACCGCCACACCCCGCGGGGAGCGGGTTGCTTGCAGTTTGGGGGAACTGTAAATGGCCTCCGTGGGGTCCTTTATGTGGGAGTGGCTGGCGCACCCGGTGAGCCAGACCCTGCAGAGCAAAGGACCTTCGGAGAGGTGGGGGTGGGCAGGACCCTCCGGAGCCAGTCCTGCTGCCTTTAATGCAGTCGTAGGGTTGCTCAGCTTTCCGCACAGAGGCTCTGAGGCCCCGTGTGACTCTGTGGGAGCCCACGCCCCTATGCCTTGGCCCCCCACCCGCGAGCGCAGCCTGGCGGCCGTGCGGGCGCAGCTGCTCGTCCTGAGCCCGTCGGGCCTCACCTGCCCACAGCCCTCTAGCGGAGTGGAGGCGGTCTCTCTCCTGAGAAAAGTCCTTTTCTCCTTTTTCTTCCCGAGTCAAATCCTTTGTTCCTCGGCTCTTGCTCACGGTGTCTGGGTGGGCTCTGCGTCTTGCCTCTGTTGCTAGCACCTCCCCGACGGTTCTCCCCGTCGGGCCTTCCACCTGCACACCCTTCCCGGGCCGGGGCTGGGCACCGGCACAGGGCGGGTAGGGCCTCGCGCTCCTGGCTCTGCGGAAATGCCTGTCTCACGCGCCTGTGTCTCCTCCAGGTGGTGGTGACTCTGGGCGACCCGAGCGTGACCACTCCCTCCAGCTCGGTCGGCCTGACCAACATCACCGTGACCCCCATCACCACTGCGGCCGGGACTCAGTTTACCAACCTGCAGCCGGTGGCCGTTGGGCACCTCACCACCCCGGAACGCCAACTGCAGCTGGACAACTCGATCCTGACCGTGACCTTTGACACCGTCAGCGGCTCTGCCATGCTGCACAACCGCCAAAACGACATCCAGCTGCACCCCCAACCCGAAGCCTCCAACCCCCAGTCCGTGGCCCACTTCATCAACCTGACCACGCTGGTCAACTCCATCACGCCCCTGGGGAACCAGCTCAGCGGCGAGCCGGCGCCGCTCACGTGGCGGGCGGTGCCCCAGACGGACGTGCTGCAGCCCCCGCCGCCGCAGGCGCCCCCGCCCCCGCCCGCGCAGCCCCAGGTGCCAGCCGAGCAGCAGCAGCAGCAGATGTACAGCTACTGAGCGCCCCGCACGACCTCAGACACCCTGCGGGAGAGCCATTTTGTCTGTGGTTGTTAGGTTGGTCCGCTGGATACCAAACAAAGGGGGAGAGACCGTCCAGGGCGACATCAGCCTCACTCGGCCTGGGCAGGATTGTCTCCAAATCGCCCAGACGCGTCCGCCTGTCGGCTGGACCCGAGAGGCCAGGAGCGGCCCCACGCTTGCCTGCCTCCTGGACCGTGGCGCCCACCTCCCCTCGGGGGCTTAGGTAGACGTGGGGTTTGGGGACGTGAAGCAGAAAGAGAAGCAGGAGCCGCAGAGGCAGTGATAGGTTTTTAGAAACACTCGTGGCCCGTTTTATTTTTCCCCGGGAGAACCCGGTGGTCACGTGAGGTCGCGGCCGCCTCTGGGCCCCAGGCTGCAGCGAGGCGGGGCTCCTGGCTCCTGGCTGCGTTTCTGTTTTTTTTTTTTTTCCTTTTTATCCCCCCCTGCGGATTTGCAGAGAAGCTAAAGTTCCATGTTCTCTTCCCTGACATTTGTGTGGAGTCCAAAGTGTTACCGGCTCTGGACTGAGAAGGTGACCCTGAGCAGACGCCGCTCCTCCGGCCTCGGGGTCATGGCAGGCCGGGGTCCCGGGGGCCGCGGCGCAGGCAGAGGCCTCTGCACAACAGCCTGTGAGTCGGTCTCCAGTCTCGGGTTTTCCTCGCTGCCTGATTTCAAGCAGATGTCGCGTGTCGTGCCGCGTCTGTGTTCCCCTCGAACTTGCTGAAGTCGTTTGCACTGTAGGGCCCGGCCGCGGCCTCCCAGAGGCGGGGCCTCGCGGGGGCGCCGGCCGAGCGTGCTCAGGGTCGTCTGCCATCCAGATGTATTTATTGTGTGGGGCTCGGCCGGCGTCCCCCGAGCTGGACAGCAGGCCAGAAACCCATGCTTGCTTCTGTTTAAACTCTGCTTCCAAAGGTGGTTGTATCTCGAGACCAGTTTTCTATAAAGATGGCGCGTGAGCTTGGCCCCTGCCATGCCAGGATGCTGCAGGTTTTTCTGAAATACGAAGATGCTGCAGTGTCCTGCGGGTGGGGTGGCAGGATCGGGGCGGGGGTGGTAGAGGTGTGGGTGCCCTGGCCTCCAGGCTCGCCCCCCCTACTTGGCTGGGAGACAGAGCGGGGTGTAAGGAGGGAAGTGGCTCTGTGCCCTCCTGGCCCCTCCACACTGTCCAAAATGCAACACTTGCCTTATTGTGTCCTCGGCCCCTGTTAGCCCAGACCTTGGTCTGGGAAGCACCTCAAAGAAAGGCTGCCGGTGAGTCCACTGGGGTGAACGAGGCCTCAGCGATCACTGTCACCTGAGGCCCAAGGCAGCCCCCCCAGCACTTCCCCTGCAGACCCCAGGCTGGGGCCTGGCGATGCCTCCCTGCCTCGGGCCGGCCCCCCCCACGCCACAGCCCAGCCCTGCACTCCCGCCCCCGCGCCTGCGTTCCCAGTGGGAGACTTTGACTTTTTATTTATGATAATTATTTTTATGTTATTTATGTATATAATTAACTGCTTTATACATTATAGTTTTCACTGAAAGAACTTGGGCCAGGGGTGATATATTTTCTAAAACACGGTCTCCATTCTCCTAACGCAAGGGTCCAGGTGCCCACGGAGTCATCAGGAACGCCCAGGTTCCGAAGATTATTTTTTTAAAAAATCACTGACCATTTCTTTTTGCATCAGCAAAATGTAAAGGGCAAACGACCGAGTGAAATTCGCCCAACGCGGTCGACGTCTGCGAGTGTTTAGCTTTTATTCCTCCTCCCAGTGAAATAAAGGCCTTTTAAATCATAATTTTATTTTTTTACAGACGTTCTTGTGCCTAGAGGAAGACTCCATCGCGTGTTTTGTAAGAGCCTAATTCAGGGTGTGCGGCCCCACGCGCCGCCGTCCCGGCCTGTGGAAACAGACGCCCGACAGCACCTCCTGTCGTGAGGCGGGAAAGTCGGCCCCGGCTTTCCTGGCCGCACGGCTGGCCTGATCCCAGCCCCTCGGGGCCAAAACGGGTCCTTGCTCTCTTAGAGCTGGCGCCGTGACTTTGCGTCAAAGAAACTGGAGGGCCAGGAAGCGCGCCCGGCCGAGCCGTGCAGTTGGCGGGCGCGGTGGCTTGTTTCTGGTGGCAGAGACGGGGTTTCCTCTAGCTGGGCCCACGCGCACAGCCGCCCGCGGGAGGCAGTAGAGCAGGCCTGTGGCCGCCAGGCCCTGCCGGTCGTCTCGGTCCCTCAAAATTAATAAATCATGAGAGTCGACTTTGGCCTGTGAAATTTGTGCGGTTGTGGGGTCTCGGGCCACGGGGAGGCGTGAGCTGGAAGGCATGGGCCCGGGATGGGGTGCTCCCGGGCCAAGAGGGGGCCAGCCGGGAGAGGCCCTTGCCTCTGCCAGGCTCCACTGCGCGCTCCCCTGGGAAAGGCGGTGGCACGTCCAGGCCCGGGAGGCAGTCACCCTCCCTCGTCTTGCCACGCGGGTCCCAAAGCTTCGCGCTGGACGCGCATGTGGGACTCCCTGGGATTTGAAGAATGGGGTGTGAGAGGCCGATGCAGGGGCCTGCCTCCAGGTGGGCTTCCTGGTGGGCTTTTGCATTCCGGCCTCCTGCGCGGCCTCTCAGGGTGAGCTCCGTGTCCCCGGGGTGTATGCCCGCAGGTCGGAGGTGCTGTGGCTTGTGTGTTTCGGGTGCCGGCCTCCGTCCCGGCTGCCTGTCCCAGGCCCTGCCCGGGGTGTCCGGAGAGCCGGTCCCAGCTGCCGGTCCCGCGACAGTGAGGCTCCAGCAGCTGTCGCAGAGGTTCAACAAGGCGGCCGGGAGGGCGAGTCAGCGCTGTCTGCAAAGCCAGGCCAGAGAAGGGACCCAGAAAGGGCCAGGAATAGCGGGGAGCTTGGGCCTGGCGCTGCCCCGAGTGGGTGGCCCAGGGGGACCCCCTCGGGCCGTGGGACACCAGCAGCAGGGGGGGGGGGGGGGGGGGGGGGGCCCTGTCTGGAGGTGGGCCCTGAGGCCCCCCGGGCTGTGTCGGGGCAGCCTCTCCCACAAACAGCGGCCAGCGCACACCGTCTGCCTGAGTGCCCGAGCGCTCGCCGTGGGCCTCGGAGCTGTCCATCCCCATGATGCTCCCCCTTTGTTTCCGCTGGCAACCCCCGAAGAGCCAGGGTCTGTTCTCTGCCCCTTGACTGCGAGGGCCTGGCCAAGGGCCACCGACCCCGACATCCTGCAGCGGGTTCAGGTGCCTCTGGACACACCCAGACACTCCAGCGACGGTCACCTGGCCAGGGGTGACTGAGGGTTGCCGTCACGGACCGTCCGCTCAGCACTCAAGCGCTCCACGCGGCGCCGGCCTGCTCGGTGCGGGGACAACCCTAGGAGCCGCTCAGCGGCTTCAACAACAAGGGTGTCTGCTCACGCTGTGACATTGAGTCACTCAGAATCACCCCATCTCGCATGGGGGGTCGTCCTGCCAGAGGGGAGAAATCTCTGGAGGCCCCACGCTGGCAGTTAGTTCTCTGACCTGAATCCCCCTGCTCTGACCGGCCACGGGGCCCCGAGGCTTCCCTTCCGACGCACACAGCTGAGACTCGGACAAGCGGCATGAACGGTGACACTCGGGGCTCTGGCTCGGGGACGGAGGGGGGGGGGGCTCTGGGAAGGAAGCCGACAGGAGGTGAGCCCACAGGTGGGCTGGCAGCCTGCAGCAAACTAGGAGCCTGAGGCCGAGGGAGCCGTCTGCGCTGACAGCCCGGGAGCCCTGGGCAGGCTCAGGCCGGGGACAGCCTGCGGGGCCCGGGCTTCCCACGGGTGGTCTTAGGCATCTGTCCCGCCGCATGTACGGCGGAGCCGGCACTTTGGGAGAAGCTGCAAGACCCCGCTCAGCCCAGCAGTCCGTGAGCACCGGCCCCACGGAAAGCGGGTGTCCTTAGCGGCTGCGCGGAGAGCAGACCCCAGGAGCCTCCAGACAGGGCTTCCCTGTTTTTCTTTACGTTATTCCCCCTTTTCGGCTGGCCGTGGGCTTCGCACCACCTGTTCACCACGAGCCACCCGCCGGGTTCCAACCTCACCTGCTGGCCACGCGGTGGACATGCCCGCACTCCCGTTGGCACTCACAGCCTCGCCAGGCCCTCCCTCCCCAATCCCGGCCACGCGAATGAGACACGAACTTCGCCTCGATGGGCCGCTCGACCCTGTGACCCCGCCGAGCTGAGGGGGTCTTCCCCCACTCGGGAGGAAATCAAGACCGCCAGCCCTTCCAGGCCACTCGGCGGCGGCGGCATCTCCAGGCTGGGCGACGAGCGCAGACGCGGCCCGTTCTGTCAAGGGGCGGGTGAGGGCGCCCGCCACGGCGCCAGCGGGGGCAGGAGGTTAGCAGGCGGCCGCGACCACGTCCACTCAGGCACCAGGGGGCTCTGGAGAAGAGCTGCGGGCATTCCAGAACCCAGCCCGCTGACCTCCCGCTGCACTGGCTGCAGCCCCTCGGGTCTCACCCGGGGGTTAGCCCCGGGGTTCCTGCTGAACAGCGGGCCGGGCCGAATCTTACCAGCCCTCCCCGTGAATTCCTGTCCCTTTTGTTTAACAAATGGCCCCAACCTACTCTCCCAGCAGTAAATTCCTGCCCCTTTTATTAAGCAAAAGTTGTCAGCAGCCCTCCAGGATCCCCTCCCAGCCCGGCCCCTCCATCTAAGTGTTTTATCTCCGAGGCCTTGAGCCCCAGGCCGTTCTGCTCCGTGGCCACCCGCCGCCAGTGTCCTCTCCCGCAGCACAGCTCCCTCCCCCCTCACCCCGCTGGCTCCTGCGGGGTTCCTCCTGCATGGGAGTCTGGAGCCGGGGCCGCTTCATCAGAGCGTCCTGCCCCCTAACCCGTCTGTGTCCCGACCCCGGCACCCCCGCCCTTTCGTGTCCCCCCAGACGCGCTCCCGCTCTCCCATGCCCCTCGCGCCTCGGGCCAGCGGCTGGAAACCCCCAGGACGACAGCGCGGCAGCTACCGCTCTTCCTGAGGAGCCAACGTGGGCCCCAACTCCAGCGGCTCAGAGACTGGAATCGCGGAGAGAGAGCAGCCGGGTCTCGGGGTGCACGGCTGCCGCTCTGCCTATGATGAGGTTCCCAGGCGCCACCTTTAAAACTCATTTTCCTGGAAGTGGTGTGCACCCTCCCCAGGGGGCCAGATCGCAGGGGGCCGCTGGGGGCCTGAGACTGTTGTAGAGCAACCCCGATACAAAACGGGGTGCCTGACTGTGGGTCCTCACCCGCACGCTTAAAAGGACTTATCCATGCTCCACTGCAGGCGCGCGCGAGAAAGGTTCATAAAAGGTTTATGTACAAGGGAAGGGGAAATGAGGAAATGGACAGCTCAGGGAGAAAAGTGGGAGACAAAGATTTCAATGAGTCCTACCCGATCCGCCGACCAGGAATCCCAAAATGGCGCTCTCAGAGTTGGCCGCAGCCAGGAGCGGTGAAGCCAGGAGGCGAGCGATCGCGAGCCAGAGAGCCCAAGGCCCATGTGTTTGGTTTTTATATCCAACCTGGCTGCCCAACTCCACCCTCAGGTCCCAGCCACCCTCCCTTGGTGGTGACGGGATTTGTCTTTCCCAGAGTCTTGATGGCTTTAGTCTGGAGTGGGGGTGGAGTCCACAAAGCCTGCATGGGATTAGCTCAGGACATCACTTCCCCCTAACAAGACCAGGAGCGCCAGGCTGCAGGGCCCAGGCGTGGGCGCTTGGGGAGGCGCGGGGAGAGCTGCTCATCTCACGGCCTCCATCTCGTGTGCAAAACCGTCTTTAGATACTGCGGTTTCATCCTCCATCCAGGCACGTTGCTCCAGATAAATTTTGAACTTAGTATCTTGGATGATCAGTTTTTCAGCTTTCATGGAAATGAATGAATTAATTTTTATTTATGCACACAAGAGCTGGGGTACAGGCCAGAGTTGCGGGGGGTGAGAAGATTCCCCAGAGACAGAGTGGGGAGCACAACAGGCAGACTGACTGAAGTACACTGCTGAGGGGAGCAGCGGGGAGACAGGAGAGGTCTGC